AATTTAATGAGATCGTGTGATTTATGTAATTATCTTTAGTTTATTTTCATGTTGAGCTAGTATACAATACAATGCAGAGATTACTATGGTCAAAGTGAAAGGCAAAAGTCTGTGGAGGAATTTTACCGACTACAACGCACGAACCAAACATTTGAATTTGTAAGCAAACTTGATTGCATCAATGTGTCAAACACTATCGTTTTATAATTCTATTATATATTTAAACTATTAAAAATTAACACATGCGAAATATTGTGTATTATTATTTTTATATATTTATATATACTCATACTAAAAATATACTTTAACATGCAGCTTCTTAATTATATCATGCATATATGCATGGGATTTTAGTTTGAGGCTTAAAAAATGTCTTCGTCATAGCCTGTCATCGTTGACCAAATAAATTTCTGTAAGAGTGTAGATTATAAAGAATTAGTAAGGAGTCTGTCTAATCCTTATATATTTTGAAAACTATTGTAAAATACCGCTGTATAAAATTATGCAGCTACATTAATTATTGTTACAAGAATAAAGGAAGCTCAACCAATATTTAATTAAAAAATAATCACATCACAATTAAAAATACATTATAACCATAACAAGATTTAGAATGATAAAAAAAATACCCAATATAATTTATATGAAGTAATTAACTAAAAAAAAAACACACCTAAATATATCTTCTATTAACAGTACATAAAACGTTTTTCATGTTTTATATGTATTTTATCATGATACATGTACGACGTTTGACATTCTAATGTTTCATACCCAAATATTTATATAAATAAACTCTTAAATATTCAAGAATATTAGAATGACTTGCATGCGTAATATCTGATATGACTAAATTACTGCAGGCCAAGAGGATGAGGGAGGAGTATGGAAAATTGAATAAAGTAAAAATGGGTATATGGGAATGTTGTGAGATGCTTGATAAAATCATGGATGCAAGTGATCCTGATTTGGAAGAATCTCAAATTCAGCATGCTTTGCAATCAGCTGAAGCTGCTAGAAAAGACTACCCTAATGAAGATTGGTTGCATTTGACTGCTCTCATTCATGGTACACAATACTCATATACAATGTTCAAATAAATATCATCACACAGAATTTTATATAAATATCAATCCTTAGATATGGCTTTCTCCAACTTATATACTTGGAATGCCTATATTATTGCCAATGAATAATTTCAGCTGAAAATGTTTATCATTTGTCATTTCTTTTTTGGTTTTATAGATCTTGGAAAGGTTCTTCTCCTTCCCAGCTTTGGTGGGCTTCCTCAATGGGCTGTTGTTGGTGAGAATTATACACTAAACTTATGGTAACAATTTTGAGTAAATTATATAAAACTAATTCTATCTTCGAGAAATTTCAGAATCCCTCCTTAATATTTCTAACATTTTTATAAAATTTGAATAATCAATACTATTATGATTGACACGTTAACATGATTGTTTTATTTTGAAATATAAACCAAATTATCTGACACTTTTCATGATTGATCTCAGTTGATATTGTCTGCTATACGACTTTCTACAAATATAAAATTTTGGAAATAATAGAATGTCAACGATTTACCACAATATATATAGTTTTCACGATTTGAAATATAAAAGAATATTTGTTGCGGGTTTTTCATTTGCCAAACTCATGATTTACGTATTTACTGACACAAAAACACTATCCATGTTGCAGGAGATTCGTTTCCTCTTGGCTGTGCTTTTCATGAAGCAAATACTCACTCCAAGGTATTTGCTAAATTTCCAATACAAGAAAAATAATAATGCTTCATGTTTGTGATGATAAATTTTCAGCTCTCACAAATATTTCTTCCTATTGCAGTATTTCAAGGACAGCATAGATTATAGCAATCCAGTTTATAACACTAAAAATGGAAAATATGATGAAGGATGTGGACTAGAAAATGTACTTATGTCGTGGGGACATGATGAGTACATGTATTTGGTAAGTTCATACACACGTGAAGGTCAACATGTCATGCATATGTCATATAATTAAATTTAGACTTAAACATGTTTTTATCGTTGAAAATATGATAAGTTTTAATTTACTTTTATTCTTATATAAGTTTATTTATTTTTATTCTCTATATTCAACAAAATGATATATTCTGACTCTGAGCCTTTTATTAAAGACTAAAAATATATAAAATTTGTTATTTTTAATAGTTAAATATCTTTTTATAAGGAATAAAATAATAACATTTCATATTTTCATAAAAAAATAATATTTAACAGTGCATTGAAATCTGCAGGTCGCTAAGGGAAATAGCACCACCTTACCTATGGAGGCCTTGTTCATTATCCGATATCACTCTTTCCATCGTACGAATTTTTATCAAGTTCTGCTACGACTTATATAGAATTTTTTTGGTTCAGCTATGAATTGTATAGTATGTCGTTAAATAATATCCAACAATTATAACAATAGCACGTAACTTCAAATTTATACATAATCTTGCAGCATTGTACCAGACAGGAGCATACAAACACTTGTACAGTGAAGAGGACATCAAGAACCTAAAGTGGCTTGAAATATTTCAGTAAGATAATTATTTTTAATTACTTTGGTTTTAACAGATCAATTTATACCATGTCTTCACCTAAACATGCTAAATAACCAAATTGATTGTGTTTCTAATACTTTCTATGATACAAAACACACAGGAAATATGATCTCTATAGCAAGAGCGATGTTCGGATTGATGTTGAAAAGGTTAGCCATACTATGTGTCGCTCATTGAGAAGGTGGGCTATAAAATTTTTATGATTTATATATCTTAAAGTTTGATATTGTTTATTTTTTTTAAACTTAAAATTCAAATCAAATCTATTTTTTTTTCTCTTTTTTGATGTGATGTACTCATTTCCTTTGTTTGCAGTATTTCCCGGCAAAGCTCAAATGGTAAATCTTGAATGAAGATAAAGGAAGTTGGCGATTAAGTGAATTAGGGACAACATTAAAATTATAGTTTATTTGTTTTATACAGAAAGAATAAGTTTTTAATTTGTATTACCAATGTTCTTGTAACTGCTAATGTGTGGTGCGGGATAATTAATAAAGTATTTCATTTTAATAATATTGTACAAAATAAAATGTAATTTAATTATCTTGATGATTCAGATTTTTATTACCAACTAGATACGGGTGGTTTTTATTATGAATTATGCACAAAAATAGTATAAGGATGTTGCGGATGACAAATTTAATTTGGTTTCTGACTAAGAAAGGGTTTGAAAAATGGTGGCAACAGAATCTTAACGAAGAGAATATTCAACGATTCATTCATAGAACCAATCTTCATTTGTGTTAATTCTGCATTCTGGTTTCTGACAAAAACCGTTCCTTTGATGTTATCAATGTACGCACGGAACCATGGCTGTGATGTGATGACTATGATGTTATTGACTACTGAGAAATAATAAATACATTTTATTATTTTAAGTTTCATATCCTCTCCATGATAATCTCACTGTAAATAATTCTTTTCCAGTAATGTAATTTTCTGATATATTTAGTATAATAAACTCTGCTAACGTCAATTTTAAAATTGATTTTAAGTAATTTATAGCAATAGTTTAAAAATGTAATATTAAAAATCTGAGTTTTATTTATTAGTATGTCTTATAGTTGTTAATTAAAGAATTAAAGGAAAAAATATTAAAAATTATGCTAACATACATTAAAAATTATAGAAAAATGACATTAACTTTAATTTTTTAATCAATGATCTTAAGACCGTGGTTAATATACTTGTATATTTTAATAAATTTATATCCATCGTATTAAATGCATAGTGAGATTCATGTAATTTAATAAAAGTAAATATAAAATTTATTAAACAATAAAACTTATATTAAAAAGGTGTGTTAAAAATATATTATCAATAAGTTTTATGCTACTTTAGTCTCTTAGAAAAATAATTTTAAAGTTGTATAGTTGGTAAGCGATTTGAGAAGAACAATGTTTAAAGCAAAAATTAGGTCAACATTTTTGAATGTTCTTTTAATTAAATCTATACTTTCATTTTGATAATTTATGACAATATTAAAATTCATTAATTATGATGGAAAAGCAACGTAAAATATATCTAAAAATTGTACTAAAATATGTCTTAATGTTTACTGTGCACCTCATTTTTTAAGTACATTGAATGAAAAGATGAGAAAAATATATAAAAAAGAAAAGAAAATATAAAAATATAGTGAAGGTTCTTATATAGAAAGACAAAGTGTTAAAATTGAAGATAGAGTTGTTTAAACTTAAAAAATGTATGCATAAAAATAATATTATTTTATATAAAAGTTTGTCTTAGAATATAAGAATAGATACAATAAAATTTGTCTTGATCATGAATATATAAATGTGTTACATCGAGGAATCGTGAGTCATATGCACAACCCCTCCACACGCAATTACATACAACTACTCCACACGCAATTACATACAATAGAAGTTAATTAGGTTTAATCATGTCCTTAAAAAAAATCAAATTATAGATTTATTGATTAAAGTTGAATCAAGTTGAGTTTTTTTCTAAAAAAACAAAAAGCTGCTCATTTTTTTAATTTAACAAATATCACATGAAATTTATGCAACAAACTAATACTATTTTTATTCTTATTCATAAAAAATCAATATTTTTATCTTAATTAAGAGATAAACTTTTTAAATATATTTAACCTTTGATTTTTTATACTTATTTATTATAAATTTTTTAATTAATTAAATTTATTCATTTAATATAAAAGATACTAATTTAACTATTTAATATTATAAATATTTTAAAAATAAAATACATAATTACTTTTTATTAATATTAATAAATTAAGCATTTATTTTTTATAAATAATATATATAATTTAACCATGTTATGCTCCCCTATCATATTGGCACCGTATTTGCATGTTTCCATATAATATTTTGTATCAGTAAATTATAAAATTGATGTACAGTCATTAAGCACTCCCACATAACAGGTTGGCACTGGCACTGGCACTGGTCAATAAGTGTTCTTGTTCCTCTTCTTCTGATGCTGAACTGGACTCAGTGATCGTTATTATCTTCCATAATCCTTCTTCTGTTGTCGAGCCCTCACCACTGTTCCATGGATTCTCGTTTGTTATGGGAAGCCAATGATTTGCCTACAAAACACAACAAACAAAAGATGATTCTCTGCTTCCTTCTCTCCTTTCTTCTCCTAACAAGTCAGTTCTCTTTCTCATTCACGTCTCTTTAATTTTTTTGTCATAAGCTCTTTAAGAAGTCTGAAATGCATAAAGATGCTGTTGTTCTGATTTTGAATGAACCAATTGAACACAATTTCTTGCATTTCAACACCAGATTGGAAATAGAATCAAAATTCACCGCTCCACTTGGCGGCATGCCTGGGAATGTTAAAAGATGACATTTTTTTTTCTGGGATAAGTGATTTAGATGTATGAATTATCAGATGATTGACTGTGGGGTGAAAGGAAAATGAAATCAGAAACCACCATTATGAGTTTGAAGAGACACGAATTACTTGAAGTGTGTATATATTGCCCAAGTCTTCTAATTTTCTCAATTAAGATTGTGTGAACCAAACTTTCTGTACGGTTTCTACAAAGAGTAAGAAACATAGATAGAATATGGTATAGAATCTAGCCCATAAGAGGGTGAGTGGAATACTGAACTTCTGTGTCATAACATGTGCTTCACACTAAAGCAATTTGATTATCATATTGACTCACTGGATCTGATGCTTAGCACAATTCTTTTACAGCTGTGGGGCTAGCAGTCAGAGGCAACATAAGTTTTGGGATAGTTTCAGGGGTAGAAAAATATAATGAGGGATTGCCAACAAATCAAAGAGATATTGTTGAATCAAAGGTGGGAGTTGTTGCAGCTGATGATGCTCGGTGTTCTGCAATTGGTGTTTCAATGCTTAGGCAGGGTGGACATGCTGTTGATGCTGCAGTGGCCACTGCATTATGCCTTGGTGTTGTTTTCTCGGCATCAAGTGGCATAGGAGGCGGTGCTTTCATGCTTGTTCGATCTTCTTCCACCTCCCAGACAGAAGCTTTTAACATGAGAGAAACTGCTCCTTTGGCTGCTTCACAGGTTTGACGTTAACTCTTACGATAAACCGTTGAAGTTGTTAAACCTCATGGTTGAAATTGGTAAAGCAATTTGACCAAACCAAATTGACATGTGCATTTAAGATATAGGCCAAGCTTGGTATGCAATGAATTAGAATGAAGCAAATTGAAAATAACACTTTGTTGTTATTTCTAAGAAGAAAATGCCATTAAGACTTCAATTGTTAATTTTTTGGCCCCTCTTCTACTGCTTACTTGGAAATGTTGAAAGTTAGCAAATAATATTTCATAATGATCATTTTCATTTGCAGAAATCTACAACAATGCAACTTACATTGTGTATATATTGTGAATGTCAACTAACAGAATATGTATCAGAACAACCCCAAAGATAAGACCTTAGGTGCATTGTCAATGGGAGTTCCGGGTGAATTAGCTGGCCTTCATGCGGCATGGTTGAAGCATGGACGGTTGCCATGGAAGAGTTTATTCCAACCAGCTATAGAACTTGCTAAAAATGGTTTTGTAGTGTCTCCTACTCTTGGGGATTTCCTAGCTAAAGATGCAAATAAGATAATGAATGATCCTGGATTAAAAAATATATATGCACCTAATGGAATTTTGTTGAAAGACGGGGATATGTGTAGTAATGTGGAACTCAGTCGCAGCTTAGAGGTAGTGGCAGAACAAGGGCCACAAGCTTTCTACAATGGAACCATTGGTGAAAAGTTAGTAAAGGATGTCAAAGAAGCTGGTGGGATTTTAACGATGGAGGATTTACGCAATTACAAGTTGAAAATAACAGATGCAATGACTGTTAATGTGATGGGATACACCATATATGGAATGCCACCTCCTTCATCTGGAACACTTGCTCTTTCTCTGGTGGGTAGATTCCTATGCCTTCTTTTCTTCATGCTATTTTCATCATGTTCTGTAGAAATCATGATGTTATGCTCTCTTTCATGAGTCTGATGCTGAAAAAATGGAAATAGACATGTATCATATGTGTTGTTTTGGTTCAAGGATTGGAAGTTTGGAATATGTCATAGACCAACTATTCCAAAAGCATAAGCTGTCGTTTAATTTCATGAGTCTAATGCATGATAAAGTTTTATATCTCTAATAGAGCAAAACTTGGTGACCAACGTTTCATATCAATACAGAATGATGCTTCAATTGTTTATGTCCTTTTTATTGGTTATTAGTTGTATGTTGGCGTATTTTAATAATTTCTATTAGCAGGTTCTAAACATCTTCGACAGTTATGGAAGTTCTGATGCTGCAAAGGGAAATTTCGGTCTACACCGACTGGTAGAAGCATTGAAACACATGTTTGCTGTTCGAATGAACTTGGGTGACCCCGACTTTGAAAGCATTAGTGAAACTGTAACTGAAATGCTTTCCCCATCTTTTGCAAAATATATTCAGCACAAGATACTTGATAACACTACTTTCCCTCCAGAGTATTATATGAACAGGTGCAGTCTACTAGTTGTAGTAGTTTGAATGAAAACATTCTGTTTTGCTTGAATGTTGCAAAGTAACTAAGTTGTTAATATAAAAGGTGTTCATAACCATGCTGGGCAGGTGGAGTCAACTCAGAGATCATGGGACGAGTCATTTGTGCATTGTGGATGCTGATAGAAATGCTGTATCGCTGACAACAACCGTAAACTATCATTTTGGTGCCGGCTTTATTTCTACTTCTACTGGAATTCTGATCAACAACGAGATGGATGACTTCTCTACACCTACTGATATATCCCCGGATAAACTACCTCCTGCTCCAACAAATTTTATTAAACCAAACAAAAGACCATTGTCTTCCATGACTCCTATTATTGTCACAAAGGTATTGCTTTCAGTTTCCTATACAAAATACAATAACAGTAAGCCATTAAGAATTGGTTTAAGGTAGGGAATTGGAAAGTTTGCAAGAGTGATGTGATCAAACCTTCTTATGCATGAATCTACCATTTGATACCATTTTGCAGGATGACCAGTTAGTCGGGGTAATTGGAGGTAGCGGTGGAATGAACATTATTCCAGCAGTGATTCAAGTCTTTCTTAATCATTTCATCTTGGGAATGAAACCTTTGGATGCAGTTCTGAGTCCAAGGATATATCACAAGGTACTAACTGATTTTTATTCCGATAGTTCCTTGATATATGATGCTTCAAAGTTCAAACAAAAATCTAATTTGGATCTTTATCTGATGCAGCTAATACCAAATGTAGTTCGCTATGAGAACTTGACTGCTCATGATGGTGAGCACATCGAGCTTTCAAAAGAAAGTAGGCTTTTCCTAGAAGAGAGAGGTCATGAACTGAATGAGTCTCGGGCACTAGCTATCACTCAGCTTGTTGTTCAAACTATCAAACCACCATTTAACATGAACAGGAAAATAGGTGAAGACATCAATTCACATACAAGGCATAGCACTCTAACAGCCGTTTGTGACCCTAGAAAGGATGGATCTCCAGCAGCTGTTTAATTATATATTCAACTGTTCAGATTGAAAATTGTACTGCACATTCATTTCAAAACAAAAATTGAAAAAAAAAAAAAAAAAGTTCTAGCCATGTTGTATCAATGCCGTCTTGGACAAGGAAATTTGTCTGTATTTCTTTCATTGAAATCATGACAGTGAAAATAAATTAAAGTTAAGGCCAGATTAGCTGTGAAAGGAAGTACTACACAAGTGCTAAAAATTGATCCTATGTCCTATCCGTGTACCATATTCATGCTCAGTGCTTGAAAGTTGAAACTGTTGCAGACTTGCAGAAACATAGCTTTTGAGTTTGTCTTTCATTGAATACACGAATATTAATACATCATCTCGGGTCCCTCTTTCTTTTTTCCTTTCTAATGAAATCGCCAAATAAAAAAATAATTAGAATGGAACAACCACTTAGTACAGTTTAAATTTTGTATGAAATTTTCATTTAATGGAAATTGCAACTTCTTCTATGGGTTCACACTAAAAAAACACGTTTACCATGGACTTGGGATCGTGTGATCAAATGTGCCACTATATAGGTAAAATGCATGTATATGTTATTTCACGGTGGGCATGGCACATGAGCAAGACTGCGAGAAACGTGTACATGTGAAACAAATTCCAAACTGAATGTTCTACAAGATTTATAACTCATTTTTATGTAAAACGGAGAAATATATATTAGGAGATAAAGATAACTCAGACATCCGAGCCGAAGTTAATAAGACGACCAAAAATAGTAACAACCTCAAATTATTGTACATAGCCAACCGACCTGCAATATAACGTCTATGGAAACTAAAGCATGTAAAATACTCTTCTCAGTACATTATTTGGTTTAGAAATCATAGTCATTAGAATGCGAATCATCACCCCCAACTTTTGTTCCATTTATAACGTATTCTGACGGAATTTGCATTCAAGACACAAGCTCGAGAGTCAATTATAGGAGAGTCCTTTTGCAGGCCATGTCTACACAAGAATTAATATCTAGACAGCTCCCTTCAGCTAGAAAACGAGTCGTGTAAGCCTGTTATCAATATTAATATAACCACTATTAACAATCTACTCTGTAACACAAGTGATACAATGATACAATGACGTCATCGTTTACACATCACTTGTGGATTGGTTCTCATCGCTGGTGGTGCTGTGGAGGCAACTAATTTTATGATAGAAGACTTGATCCAACTATGATCACATCTTAATTGTATACATTTTTTGGGTTTCACAATTTTGGGGTGTATATTCATAATGACAATGATACCATGCACACTTTAGGGAGCCCCAAGATATCTTTTCAAATACCACTATACCAATTACAACCCATCTAGCTCAATGAATTCAAAATGCCACACTTTAGTGTCAGCACGCACAACGGCCCTTTGTACAACAGGCACTAAATCTGACTAAGGGGTGATGTTAATATATATAACCATAAGCTACACCTCAATTGGTCGGTGAGCAGGGGCAGGGAGTACCTCATGTCATGGATTTGAAATTTTCAACTTATCGGGTATTGTGCTAATACCAAGGGTCAAACTTCTTTTCTTGACAAAAAATATACACAATCCATTCATACAAGGGGAGCGAAAAAAATAAAACAAAATGAACAACACTCAAATTTTCTTTCATAAAGAAAATTGGAGATTATCTTTTCTACTTTATTGTACAAAGAACAGAGTCAATAATGACACACAAATCACTGCATATACTCTCTTTTTTCTCCTTCAAGATGTTTTATCCATCAGCTGAATTGGAGTCAGAATATTTGATTTGCTTGTCTCCACAATACAACCATTCATGACCATTTCCTCCAACATAAAATGTGCCTTTTCTAAATGGAACATGATATCTAGCTCACACTGCAAGAATAAGTGGACAAAAAATATAAACAATTTCGCTGGAATTTACGTTCAAAGAATGAAAGGAAGAAAAGAAAGACGTTTGAAAGGCATGTGGGGAAGAAAAACTAAGAAATTAAAGAAACAGAAGAAACCCCGAAGACTCCAATCACAGCAGGACTTACCACATTGCCAAAATGACGATCCATGGTTTCTACCAAGAGATGTATAAACTCCAAAATAGCCAGCTCATTCTGCAACATCATAAAAGAAGGTAGAATAAGCACTCAAGCAGAATTTGAAAAATATCATATTTTTTACACAAAAGTGATGCATATAAAATTCTGTTGAAGTTCCGTATGTTTAACAATACTAACAACTCAATGCAGTTCTTATTTTACAACCCAAATGTCCCCTACATTTCCTTAGATACACAAAAACCTCTTCTATGCATGTTCACAGCTAGACTATTTCACAGAATTATTCATTTTATGAAGAGATTTAACATTTAGTACTCAAAGATTTGGCTTGCTCCAAATTATTCAGTGTGTTTGTATGAACCAATTAAAAATAAGAGAGAATGATTTACCTCATCATCATCAACTCCAACTAGAAAAAACAAAGATGCGTAGCGCCTATACACAATTTTGTAGTTGCGATGCTCTACAAAAGAACACTGTCAATGAATCAGTTAGAAACGGAAATCAGATACCGTCAACACTAAAGAGCAACAACAACAATAAAAGTTTCAATTTAACACAAATAAGCAAAATATGACACATTCAAATGAATAAATCACGAGATCTCAACATAAAATGATTAAATTGAAAGGGAACCTGCTGTTCGTTACGGGCGAGGCATTTGCGAACGATTTCACCTTCAAGGGCTCGCCTTTCTTCAAGAGTGAGGTATTCGTAGTATTGGGCGAGACGCGTTTGACCTTGCTTGTTCACCATCAACACGAATCGGATCCCCATTTTGCCCTAATTCCCCTTTTCACTTCACCTTCTCCCACTGCAACTATACATACCACCGCATAAATATTCTTTTTTTTTTTTTTTAATCAGTTGATCGAATCAGTAAAATAAGTTAAAATATGTTAAATGAAAAAAAGAAAATATTAATGTTATTTTATGCGAGTGTAAATTACGTAAAATGTTAAAGATAACAATTTAGAAAATTAAATTTTAATTTTTAATAAATTAAACAAACGTTACTTAAAATAATTTTTTATAAATTTATTTTATTTTATTTTTTTACCAAACTTTTTATTAGCTCGTAAGTTATAAGTTTTTAAGTAATCTATTAATAAATATATTTATATTTTTGTATTGTTCGAATTTGTATAAATGTATTTATATCTTTTATTAGTTAATTTAATTTTAAAATAATTAAAATTTAAATATAAAAAACAATTATTTATTAAATAATTATTTTTAATGTAAAAAAATAAAAAATATTTAATTAATTTTTTTAAAAATTATATATATAAATAAATATAACAATTAAACTTAATTTATTTATTATTTTAAACATTCTAAATTTTAATAATTATAAATAGTGTAACCAATTTTACATAGATAAATTATAAATTTTAAAATAAGTTAAAAACTTGTTTTATTAAACATATTCTTACATTTGTCAGTTTATATAATTATTATATCATTAATTAAACTAGTGAATTTTTTCCACATTGTACAAGTGTTATTAAATTAAAATTATTTTTAAATAAAAATTAAAGATACATTGTATGTCTTTTTTAAAAAAATTTAAAAATATTTTACCATATTAAAATAAGACTAGATTAAAGGAGATAAAAAATTTAAAATTAAAAATAAATTACAAAATTAAAATTAATCAACAAAAATAAATACTCAAGTAGGAGAAGTTACACAGTATAACTAATAAAAATGAAAACTAACTCTTAAAGACAAATTTACTTAAAATTTGCAAGTTATATTTTATATATTGAGATAAGTATATACTAACAAATATTTTAGAAATTTTAAGTAGGGAATTTATACATAATGTTTTTATAACAAATTATAGTAGGACTATATTAAAAGTTATAGTAGGATGGAGTCATGTTTGTTAATAATATTTTTTTATTCTTAAATTTTAATTAATATTTCAATGACACTTATTAGCATTCTTTGGTTAATCAGAATTAATGCCTAATGATTGTATGAGTGAGAGCTTAAAATCAAATATTTTATTGGGTTGAAGTTCTTCATATTGGTAATTGGTTTTATTTAATTTTTGTAAAAAAATAAATTCTAAGTTTTTAAGTTTTGCCTCCATTAATTATGTAAAACTTGTGTCTCATGCACCTACTCCTTAACCCATTTCTTTTTCCTGTTTGAAGAGAAACAAATATTACTAAAATTTTTTTAAAAAAAAGAGATGTTTTGTTCATCATTCTCACTAAAAGATAAAATTGTAAATTTTGTGTTTGAAAAATTTTCAAGCCAAACAAAATCAAAATTAGAAAAAAAAAAGCTCTGATATAGAATTACATTTTTTTTGGTTACTTGAACTGCAAGGATCAATCTCCATTGTTTTTATTTAAAATTAGATTTTTTAAAAAAGTTTTAATATACTATGATCAAATAAATGTTGATTTTTTTTTCTATTTTGTTTTCACTACATTTGCAAATTAATAATATATTTAAGTTATTATTCATCTAGCTCATGGGGTATGTTAATAGATTGTCTGAGAAGTGAAGTTTTTGAGAAGAGAAATTTCGTATTTAAAATAAATATATTTAAAATTATTTAAAAATATATACAATTTGATAAATTGATGTAATTTGATATATTAATGATGCATTTATTATTATAAATATATATAGTTATGTTAATTTAAAATTAAAAAATATATCTTCTCCTTCCCTTTTATATTTTTTTCCCAAACACACTTTAAAAGAAAATCATAAATAGTTAAAGTAATTTGCTAAAATTTTTGTTAGAATGAGTTGAAATGAGGACGCCTCAATGTATATAGACGTAATATAAATTCTAAAATAAGGGCTTTTTAAAATTAATTAAAATAATATATTAAACTCATTATAATTTTATTTTGAACAAGGGTCATTAAAATATATTTAGATTTAAAAGGAATTATAAACTAGACGAGAGACCTATTTTTCAGAAGATGAAAGCCGTATTTTTTAAATGATAAAAAAAAATGTTTTAAAAGAGTCATAATAACATATTAATATAAGGTGTCTATTGTTTTTTAAGAAAATAATGCTTATGCTTAATTATTTTCCTATTAATTACTTAGTAACTTATTTTTAATTATTCATAAGATTTAAATAAAATTGAAGGGCTTGTACAAGGGAAGTGGGAAGGTCCAAATCCTATGGGAGTCTGGCCACCCTTGGTTGAAAGTATTATTAACTTATAAATAGAAAAATCATCTCTGTGACTTTAATTCATTTAATAATTCATAAATAAATAGTATAACAAAATTACCTGTGACTTTCATACAAGTCCACATTTTTCTTCTTAAAAAATATTAATTAACCAGTCACACAAAATCGTAGATTGGTCAAATATCGTACTTATTACCATTCAGCAGCCTTCTTATACTATAGACTATGGTTGAATGGACGATTATGAATTGATATTATACATTTATTTGAATTGGAATTTGCATGTGATAACATCTACAACTTATAATATAAGCACTAAAAAGAGGGTGTGCCGTGCAGTGCACACAAGCTACATTTGACGACCATACACGTTTTCTAATTTCTTGAATTCAAAAAGTTCCAAAGGTAGAGGCTGCTTCCAAAATTGGAACCTGAAAATGAAAATCAGGTTGTTTCCCCCTCCCCAATTAATCGCACGCCATGCCCAATAATTATTTATAGACAATTTGTGTTGAAGTAGAATAAATTAATCTATCATTGAACATAGTTAAGGGGCGTGAAAGTTAATCTTAACCATAGATTATTTATTAAAACGTGTTAAAAATTAACTTTTTGACTATAAATCAGAACACTATAGCCTTTGCCAGGGTGACGTATGCTCCATAATTTTTGGACTTTCTAAGTGATAATATATTCAAACTAATGAAGCTGATTTCCGCATAGAGCAGATTTGATTCGAAGTTTACAAGCTACAACACAACGAGTAACTAATATCTTGATCATTTAAGGCCGAGTTTTCCACAGCCACATTATTGACAAATAAGGCCAAAAAAGATGCTCATATATACTGCTTATAAGCTATAACGCATAATAAAAGGATAAAGGAATGGTGATGATAACTAGCAAGCTGCGGGGTAAATGCAGCTGATTTCTTTGTTAACTGAAGAGTCATCCTGAATAATGTCCATCCTGTAATTGTTTTAATGGTTCTTCTCCTTTCTTCTCTTCATTGACACCCTTGACATCTAAAAAGCTGGGTTGATTTGTGGAAGATAAAAGCCTGGCCCACATTCTATCAGTTATCACTACATGGTTCTGTCTCTCAGTGATTCTCTGCAAAGCATTACAATGCAACAAAACATTGGTGAGTTAACCAAAAGACTACCTCTTGCATCCTAAAGTTACTTTCTCAAACTGCTTTCAATGTCCTAAACGTTATAACTTGATAAGGTATTTAAAACTGAAAACATCTAAATCCATCAAAAGTTATATCAAGCCCAATGAAACTCACATAAAAGGGTATGTAAGTTTGTCTTCCATTGACAAGTCCACTTGTATAGCCAGTGTAACCTGCCATTGCTCCGTGAACAGCACTTTGAGCAAGAAGTGTGCAGTACACGTTGTCAGAAGCATTGCTTGGAATAGCTCGGATCATATAGGTTGGATCTGTAAAACAGTAAAGAGAAGGCAATACTCTTTAAGCCATTACTCCTTTCAATGTGCTTGTGTACAGGTACAAATGCTTTTAATCTTTACGAACCTATGTATTTGAGAGTTATGGCCATCGTCTTCTGTTCAGCAAAATGATCCTGGAAGGTCAAAGTGCTCAAAGTAAGAGGCAGAAAACATCCTCATAAACATTTTGCAGTCGTGAAAAAATTAAGAAAGAATAAAATAGAGCATGTTTTGTATGGTTTAGTTTTGATTACTGAAATCATATTCTGCTACAAGTTCTAGAAAATTTAAACATGCAAACTAATGATGGCAGTGATAGTAGGTGATGCTAGACAGGTCAGCTAATGATCAGAGCATAAATAAGCAGGGCTGTAAGGAAGTAAACAAATTCAGATCACCTTCAACAAAGAAATTAAGAGGATAATGCTGTCCATGAACACACTGAAGAGCACAAGGCATCTAAAGCAAATAAAACGAATAACAATCCAACCTTAATCTTTTGGGATATCCATAGCCCAACATCTTGAAGAAGCTTGTTTCCAGAAGCATCCTGTTTACTCATGGATTGCACGCTCTCAGAAACAAGTTCCTGTCCTGCTCCTTCAGCAATCACAATAACCATGTGCCCATTTTCTTTGAGTCTTTTCTCTATATATTCAAAAAGTCCACCAGGACCTTCAAGGAAAAAGGGTGACTCTGGAATTAAGCAACAGTCCACATCCCGACTCGCAAGAGTAGCATACATTGCAATAAATCCTGCACCATGCATCCAAAATAAAGCATATATGAAGTCAGGTTTGCTAACATAGTCAACAAAAGAACTTATGAACATCATATTTAGCTTCTTTTTTTTTGTTCCTTTTAAAATGTTACAATGAGAAGACAACAGCTATATGTTAATTGAATTGAAGTCAGTTGCCTCCCTTATGGCCTTGTTATTTTAGAGATTGTTAGATGGACAGAATGATTGACATTCTATTGAAACTGCAAATGGTTTGAGGATAGCCTGTGTTATACTCCCAGATTAAGCTTCCAGGAATCATGATTTATGTGTCAAAAGGTATTTTTGCACCCCAATACTTTGTCAGGTCTAATAAGAAACAAGATATGAGCTTCTTCATTATCCTTAGGCTACTGAAGGTAACTAAAGAATGAACCATTTAACTGATGAATGGAGGCATCTTAAGCACTTGGGAAACTTACCACTGTAGCGACCCATCAGCTTGACAACGCCTATACCATTCTCAACACTTTCAGCTTCAACATGTGCTGCATTTATAGCTCGCTGAGCCTCCTCAACAGCAGTGTCAAATCCAAATGACTTATCAATAACCTATTAAGCAACAAAGAGACAGCAGAAGAAATTTACCAATTAATGATGCTAATGGATATAAATCATGAGTTGGAAGCATCAATTTGCAAGAAATTTTTTTTACCGGGATATCATTATCAATTGTTTTGGGGATTCCAACAACTGAAATTTTGAGACCACGCCGTCTTACTTCCTGTATGGATAATCAGGTTGAAAGTTGAATCATTAACAAATTGCGTAATGCAATTAGTTTCACAGATTTAAATACCAACAACCTTGGTGAAAAGTTCATTTATTTTCCTAAACCCACAAATCTAATAGACTCATTTAAATTATAGATACCTCAAAAATGGCAGATGCACCCCTCTGAGTTCCATCTCCTCCAATTATATAAACCTGAAATTCAGAGAGATGTTAATCTCAAGTATACACTCTAAATATATACTTCAAAATAGAAAGAAATGCAGACCTGATTGATTCCTCGATCTTGAATACTGTCAACTATCTTTTTGGTGTCATGTCCACCTCTTGATGTACCAAGAACAGTTCCTCCACGCTTATGTATATCATTCACACTTTTAGGAGTTAAAGTGATCCAATTCCGAGCATAGAAACCCCGGTATCCTCCCTTCACGTCACAACATTATCATTAGTTGATGAGACTAATAAAAAACTATGATTGCAATCGATGGCTTTTGTAGATTTACTCTCTAACTGATAAGGGAGAACTAAGGATTGTGAAAATTTGCAGTGTTGCTAATCAATGCCTTTGGGGCTGACGTTAAGGAAATATCTTATACCTTAGGAGCATTAGTTAGATTTTTTCATTAACTTTTAGCTGCACCAAATAAGGAAACAGTTGTAGGGTTACTAGAAAGCAATAATAAGGCATTGATCTCTTTCAGATAAGAGTAAGTTAGCACATTAATAACTTTAGGCGTTATAGCTTGTACTAAAAAAATGGGCCTAACTCACTGAGTCACTCTTAAAAATTAACTCAAAAGAGGACTGAGCTTTATAAGAAATATTCTGACTTTATCCTTGACGGATGTAGGATATTTTGAAATGCCAGTGATACTTGTCAAAAAACAAGCACAAAATTTGCAAGTAAATGCCATGAACAAAACATCCACGTACATTGATTCCCAGAACTTTCTTCACGCCATACATATGGTGTAAGCCACACACCAATTCCCTAATCACAGTGTTGAGGCCAGGACACAGACCCCCACATGTGACAATGGCAGCCTGAACTTCATCCGATTCAAAATAAACCTGAAAATCCAATTTTCGAAGGCCATAAACAAAAAATACCAAATATATCAATTAATGCAGAAATAGATCTACACCCATAGAAAAATACCTTCTGACGGGGTCCAGCACGCCGAAAATGTACTCCTCTTGCACCATCTTTGTGAACAACAACCTGTCAGTAGTCAGAACAAGATGTAAATAAACGACATGAAAATTAATGAACTTAAAAAGTGATTCATTTATAATATAACCAAAGAAAAATTACATTTAAAAAAGTTACTAAGTACCAACCTTTTGAGGTACGCTATCATCAACATGAACAAAATACTGCCTGGCAAGTGACAAGTAAAATTCAATTCACCGATCAACCACAAAAAGTGCAGGAAATTAAAACACGAATAAGAAGTAAACACTTACTTAACCACTGAGTAAGCAGGGTTGTCTTGCAAAGGATTGGGGTATGTCTGCAGCAACACCAATATATAAAATCATACTTTGTATTTGATTGTACCCGAAAATAAAAAGATACATTAATATCCACCATCCATAAAAAGCTGCATAACATCATTTTTTTCACTAAAAACGAAATTCCTAATACTAAGCTACACAATTACACCCCAAAAAATAAATTGTGGACCCAATTCATCGTTTCCGATCTGTAAGCTGAAAAATCATTAAAACACCAAAATCCCCCCAAAAAGGGATTTTTTTTTTTAATAATTTGTCGGTGCTAAAAAAAAAAAGAAAAGAAAAGAATAAAAGGGTCGTTGGTTTTTATAAATACTAAACATTCGACTCATTCGAGGTAAAGAAAAAGCAACGGACGATCAGTGAAGAAAAAAGGAACACATGATCAGTGATCGATCAAGTAGAGAATAAGCAGCTTTTGACGGTGGCGTAAGAGAAAAGCAGAGTAGGGAGAGATTATGAAAACGATGACGTACTTGAAGGTCCGGAAAGTAATCAGTCAAATGTGGAACATCCTCGAGGATATAACCGGCGGTGCCGGTGACAACCTTAGGGTCGGAGTTCACAGATGAAGCCATGGCAACCGGTGATGGTGACCTGAAAGATTTAGGATCAAAGAAACCGTTGTTTGTGATGGAGTGGTGATTGTGATTGGAAAAAGAAGCGGTAGAATCCATTAAAATTCAAAGGAAGGTTATGATCACAGTCATGGTAATAAACGGAGTTGAAGAAGAGAGGGTGATATATATAGTAAACGGAGTTGACCGAAGAAAACACGGAGAAGAAACAGAGGGTGCTACCCACCAAACGGGAATTGAATTTTTTTTTTATAAAGAATGGTTCGAGAAAGGAAGAATAGAAACTGGTGGCAGAAGATTGTAAATGGGTTTTGAAGAAAGGTCTACGCTTTCGTCCACAGCTTTATGAGGGTCTGCGTGGAACACAGTGATGGCTTGTTCTAGAATAAACTTTGGAGATTCCGGATTCGTAGTGTCTTTTACATTCTAAATTGGTAAATTCTAACTCCTGTCTCTTGCAAATAACAGGACTTGTCTCTCCCTTGATGCCTCTTTCTATGCTAATTTATTAACAATTTTTAATTTAGAGATCATTAAAATGCAGAGCAAATTATCTTCATGTTTTTTTTTTTAACAAATGTTTGAGTTAATCTTCAAGATTTATGGATTATGTTTCGTTAATCTCTAACTTTGTCCGAAAATTATTTTAATCATTTCAGTGTTAAAAAAACTATCATTTTATAGAATTAAGAATTAATTAAAAATTAAAGTCTAGAAATTTTGAATATATGTAATGTAGGACTCACTTAAGATGTTTTTGTGGTATATTAGTCCATATTAATGCTCACTTTTTTAAAATAGTAAATTATGAATCTTATGAAAAAAAAAAAACTGCCTACTTATCATTTTATGTCTGTTTTAGTGTTATTAATTATAGTCTCTGTATTTATAAATTTGTTATCATAATTCTAAACAACCATTCAATTTAAGAAGGTCCAGAATTCAAACGCAACTTTTTAAGCCTCCATTAACTTAATACATAGCTGGGTTGGACATGAGATTCAAAATTTATTTAACAATTAATGCCTAAAAACCCCACTTCATCTCAAAGAATTACAATTAAAAAGTCACGCTTCTCGCCCCAAAGGGTATAAAATCTTCTGAACTTATCAAAGTAGTAAATAATTACACATATATATACAATTCATTAATGTATAATACTTTTTTTCTTATCAAAAATTATAAACTACCATAAAATGCAATACATTAAATATCACAATTTTTAAGAAAAATGCTTATTAACTTTTTAAAAATATATCATTAAACAAACATTAATATATATAATGTTTAAGTTAATGATTTATTGTTTGAATAACTTTATCTTTAACTTGTATTTTTTTCATTTCTGTAATAAATTAGACATCAGTTTTGATGTTTGTCACTTGAACGATACATATAATGACAAATTGAAGAATCATATTATTTATAAAATGTTTTGTATAACATTAGTTTTTATAACACTTATTTTATTACATATTTTTTTTGTTTACATATAAAAATTGCACAAGATAATCTATAACTGACATTTCTCAAAATTTAAATAGTTTTCTGAACTTTCAGCCGATTTGGACGTTGATTTCAGAGGTTATTATCATAATTATTATAATATTTTTTTACTCGTCATTGTTGCATGATAAACATCCTGGAAAGGCAAACTTAATTTAATTAATACACATTATTAGATGGATGATGTCTACCCTAAGGAGTATATTCAATAATGTTATAAAAAGTCTTACCAAACAATAAAGTAATATTATAACAATTAAAAAGTAAGACCTTTGTTACGCATGCTACATGTCACTTTTAAAACAGTTGTTCCTTTCCAATACAATTAACTTCTTTCATGATAATTTTTTAAAAACTTCTTATCATGCACTTGTGAATTACAATAGAAAATTTGTATTAATGTTTTAACATGAATGAGATAAAGCTTTGTTATTGTTATTGAATAATATTAAATATAAAAGTTTGTGTAGCCAGGAAACTGATAAAATGGATGAGATATTTATGGAGAATAAAGAAGATGCAACGCAAGAAAATGATCTTCTGGTTCTCCAATGTATACCACAAAAAAAGAAAAAGTATATGAAGGTTTTGGTTGAAAATACCACACCATTGTCCTTTGCATTTATATATACTTATAATAAACACAAACGAATTGAAGAAAAATACAAGAATTGAAGTTGTTGTCATTCGATCATAAAGAACATTGGATTTTGTGTGTCTTCTTTTTGTGTCAAATTACAATTGGATCCTACACTTCAGACTTTAGAGCACATTGCACTTTCTGTCCACTTTTGTCCGTATCGCTCTGAATTGCAATAACTAACAAAAATGACATTACATTTTAAGATACTTGTAACTGTTTTTACACATTTATGGCTAAGATGTTTTCATTTTTCTCAGAAAGTAGATGTCGTTTGCGATGCAAACTGAACACCATAATAAATAATCATATAATGAGTTTTTCTTTTACTTAGCAAATCCATAAATAATGTCCACTGCAAAAATTGTATATGTATCTTAGTTTATATAAATTACCATATATTTATGTTATTTCCAAGCGTTTTTCCTGAACAATAAAGGCATGATACTGCAATATGATGGAAAATACTATATTCCCGCATGCAAAGTCGTATTCTACATCGACAGCACACAGGCATTGAATCACATGAACTTGATGATTGTATAAAATTTTAGACATATTTTCATACACAGCTAAAAAGAAAACCCCGTGAAGGGTGATAACATTCGTCAGAACCAGGTTCGTCTTCACGGATGTTGACAAAAAAGGTATGTGGACCAATATAAATATATGATCTCTTATAGTAGTATTTACTATCAAAGATGGTCCAAATCATTGTCAAAAACAAAAGACATGGTCCAAGTCCAACAATAGAATACAAATTAATGAGTGGTGCATAGCTATTCTAACATGCCTTATGCCACCGCCAAGGTAAGGTTTACCATTCATCATCCATTTTTTTCTTTCTAGGAGTACATTATTAAATCAATCCCATTACCCCATCATTATGTAAACATATGAAGTTGAGAAGAATAAATATATTTCAGGACTCAATTCATACAAGAACGTATCTCGAGAATCAAGATTAATGTAATTTCGAGAATCTAAAATAAAAACAGCACTTTTCATAAAGTTACATGCAATCATCTATCGATTTATGGTGCCCCTTTAAACCTTATTCGATCGTTGTTGTTCTAAATAAAATGGCCACAAATTAGTGTTGAGTCATCTAAAGAATTGAAGAGGGAAAAAAATAATAATTAAGAGACAAGATCCGGTCTATGTGCTTGAAAAATCAATGGTCTTGTCCAATAGGAAGAAGTGAGCATCCTCGTATATTAATATTACCTTCACACCTTGAATTTTCTTCTCATCTATTTTGGTTGTTCAAGGATGGTGGTTTAACTATTCTTTTTTTGTAAATGTTATTTAATTTGATTTTGAAATAATATAGTGAGTAAAAACATTTTTTCCATGATCAAATTTCATGCCCAAAAGAAGAGAACCTGGCTTAAGCATTCCCATAAAATGTGCAATTTCTCAGAAGCTGCAAGTGCTTATGCCTCATGAATAAAATAAAATGTACATGGAATGTTAAAATACAATTCTAGAATATTTCATAATGCTTAAATTTAGGAAAAATAAGATTTTGAAATTTTTTTCTTAAAGATTAATTAAAATATAATTATTTCGTCTAAAAATTAAAATACACAATGTGTGCCACCATCATCACCAAACATTTCACTAATTTAAGTATTCCGTTGGTGGATCTTATCGATCAATTAAAAAAGAAAGAATCAAATTACTTTCTAACACATGCTTCAATATTTTTTTATACAATTAAATCTATATGATAAATATATTTAAATCATCACACCGTACTACCCAACATGATCTTACATTCTGGTATGGAAAAATTGTTCCCTTGATGGTGTGCCTCGTGATTATTGTTCCTCTTCTCTCACTCGTCATAAATCCTCCAAAATCAACTTTCAGTTTCATGCAGCTTCACGTTTATGGAGAGAAGCTCATGAACCACACAATGACGAATTCCATGGCCTTCTGGAATATGCTGCTAACTAATATTACACATAAGAATATTAAATAATAGCTTCTGAAACTGAAACCTGATGTCTTTTGGATGCACTTCCTTTTCCTTCTATTAAAACTTGGTAAAAATGTGCTTTAGAATGCAGTCTTAGTTGAATCCTTAAACTATGTTTGGATTGTTACACAGTTTTGTATCACTACATAATCCACTATATTTTGTTACACAGTTTTGTTACATCTAAGAGTCCAAGTATAAATTCACAATTCTTTTGATGCTTATGACTTAATAGATATATATTTGTTTGTTCCACTCACTTATATCTATATTTGTCTTGCAATTGCACCATCTTTCTGCGACTATGCATTTTATGCTACCCCCAATGTTTGGTACTCTTTCTTAACTTGTTACCTTAATATTCTTGCTTCTATAATGTGCAGTACACACAAGTTCATCCAGTTTCAACATTCAATAACATTTGCAATAACACTGGCATATTTGGTACTCAAGTCCTAACAAGAAGCCCCTCTGAATCGTTTATATTAAGAAATCATATTTTGTAACTGCATGGGAATTGGGAAATCTTAGGCCGGTCATTATTTGTAGCTTAATTAAACCTCGAAGCAGACCAGAACATAACTTCCAGAGGATGCAATCAAGCAGATCTGGAACTCTTATGTTACCAAAATTATTACCTTCATTGAGTTTATGTACATATTATAATTTGAACGCAGGTCCAATTTAAGAGTGTGGGAGAGGGTGCGCTCAAGTTTAAGTGATTTATTAATCTGAAGAGTCTTGGCGATTTAGACTTCTAGCATTTTAGCTTATATGCCTTTTAACTTGATAACCAAACAAGGTTGAGACTTTATTATCTAACAATGCATATGGTATCAACTATCAAAGACCAACCTTCCATAAGCTTAAATTATTGAGTAAAAATGTATTATGGGTTTTGCATATGCTTGGAAAATGCATTAGCTCACCCTACCTAACTTGTGTCGAAATTCTTTTGTTTTGAAGAACTGGGGTGGCAAGTATTGAACTCCTAACCCTTTGATATGATATTGTACAACAAATACCAACGCTCCGAAAGGTTAGATATTAGGTGAAGGTTTATAGGTACTTTTTATATCTAACAAATGGATGATGATCTGCCTTTCTCTAGACAATGGCACAATCTATATTACTATTCATCATTTTCGTGATTTTATCTTCTGTCACTTGATTCACAGTTTCTGCCTTGGTGTTCTGATTTTGTATTTAAAGCTTGATATAGAAACTAAAGAGCTTCGTGCAGTGGCTGCTTCTGTACAAGGTATGTTGGTATATATGCTTTACTTTCACTTGACAAGCATTTTGCTTTTATGATTATCACATTTTGATGGGTAGCGTTCCACTTTTTATTTTGATTTCTGTTCACAGTTGAGCTGGTACTGCTGAATCCTCACAAACGGGTTACAAAATCTGGAATCTTTGATAGTGTAAGTTCAACTCTTTATCATCGAGGTTTTGACACACACGGTGATAACTATGTACAAAGCATGACATTTATTTATTTTTTATCATCGAGGTTATTAATAATCAATTCATTAGTCTTTGACTCTTTAGTACACTTGGTCTTTTCATGTTCTGTATAAACAACTTTCTTGCTTGTTTACTGATTTTCTTTTTCTTTTCCTCTTTGCCATTTCCTTTTCTTTGACGTAGAAAGGTAGTATCTATTGTGTAGCAAATCAGCTGTGCAATGTGAATCTAAGGACACGTTAACCATATTTGACAAATATCTTAGGATGTGTATATTGCCACACTCATATGTTTATTACCATTCCCTTTTAAGCAACTTTTGTTTAAAATACCCTTTTTTTTCTCTCTTATAACTATATCAATAATAAGGATATTTTACATAATTTTTTTAAATGGGTGTGACAATAGACATGTAACGATAGACATTCTCTATATCTTATTGTCACTATAAAAAGAATTAACCATGAAGATTGTTAGCACTTAGCAGGGATAATGTTTGACTAAGGCAGGGATTGGGCTTTAGAAGCAGAAGTTTGGGTTGATTTAATTCAATAAATGAGTTGTTCTAGACTTGTGGCACAAGTGATACTTCATTGTCATAATTGTGCTTGTTTTCCACAAAAGAAGAGTCAATTAGCTCTGACTTAGGATATTGTGGCCAACCCCTAATCTTGGAAAATAAAATTGCTACTTCTTATGTTACAGAGGATCATATTTCCTTGCCCTGCAAAAATTCTGGCTGTTTCTTGTTTTCTCCCCAGTGGTATATGTTCTGCAGTGTTATACGCTCCAAGCTATGACTCAGTGAGCCACAAGCTATATCTATACATCCTATCTGGAGGCTCTACATGTACATGCAATCAAGTGGTGCAAAATTAAATAAAAAATCATAAATATTCATGTAGTTAAGAAATTATTGGTTATGCTCAAGCAGCAGAATCTGACTATTTTTGGGTACATAATTCATGAGTTTCTCATCCATGTTTTGATGTTGCGCTGAACTCACAACTTCTGGATCGAATCCTTGTATCTGAGAGCAAATGGTAATCTATCGATCGGTAACATCGTATTTTAGCATACATGTTACTTCATTAAATATCGAAGATTACGACTGTTAATAATTTAGTTAAGGAAATTGTAAAAAAAATAAATCATTTTTTTATTAAAAAAGTATGACAATGCACTCATCTTTTAGATTTTAAATGTATTTTAACATAATTTTTAATAAAAAATATTTATTTATTCATATTAATCAGTGTTTTAGCAAGAGCCTGTAGTTAAAACAAATAATCATATTGTACATTAAAGTATGCTTTGAAGTTTGAACTATGAGTTTGATTTCATATTTATCTATCTATAATGATGTAAGGAAGTTTAAAATTCCAGCCATATAAACTAATTAATATCCAATGTTTCCCATATTTCATACCCGCTTTTGTATTTAATTTACCAATGTTCTTCCATTTTGCACGCAAGATAGTTCTCACCCGAATGTTCAAATTCTTAATTAGAAAATCTATACGTTATTGCCTATCAGACTCGTATTTTTGGAATGTCTTGAACTAACTGAGTACTTACTCTCATGTTGGTGGACTTGTGATCACTAAAATTCTCACCCACCAAAGAATTTAACCTCACAAGCAATATTCCCATACAGGCCCAAGCCAAAGAAAAGTGGGTCAAATTTAAGTATGGGCCACCCTCTGAGAAGTAATTCTTACCCATCCATTGTCAACGTATGCACTAACCAAAAATAAAGCAAATAAGTTAAGGGTGGATAGCCCCTATTTCCGTGGCCTAAGGTCCTAGCTTAGCTGGAACCAAAACTTTGTTTTAGTATCCCCCAAAGATGGGAAAAGTGTATGGTGTGGTCTATGGTGTGGGATGGCAATTGAAAATCAGATGAATATGTCCCCCAGTTGATATAACCTGTTGTCTTGCAATTCAATGTTTTTCTTATTCTTAATTACCTCCTAATTAATTACTTTGTACTTATTTAATGAGAGCCCTCATGATGCTAAATTTGTCTCCCATATTATATTAATTATTGATGTTAATCACTATTGGTCTCGAGAATAATTGCAATTTTATAATTAGTTATGTATAGCATAAAATATCCCGGTTGTAGCTAGAATGCCAAAATTTCAAAGTATTCATGTCTAAATCTTCCTTTGCACTCTAGAATATACATAAACACCGTATCAGGAATTGTACTAATGTAGTCCCTTAAGAAATATTCTCAAAGATGAATTGTGCAGGAAAAACAAAAGAGTGTTTTGGAATATTTTTGTGTATAAAAATTTAATCCTTCTTTTTATACTATAATTATCCTTACTATAAGAGATGATATTCCTCGGAACTGTGTCACCAACCGTTTTGTAGGTGCACAAATATTATTAAACAGTGGAATTTTTATGGTTCATGCAAAGCAAATAAAGGTTGTGAGAAGATGAAACTGTGTTAGGATGTGGGCTTCGTGGGTTGGTTCGTCCAAGGTCAACTTAAATGAATAATCAAAGCAATTTGATTCTCTCATTTTCTTTTTCGCACCTTAAAAATCTTATTGGTCAGAGTGAGAAATGTGAAATGATGTTATACAAGTTGAATTTTTCTGGGGTCCTCGAGTTGGTCCAAATTTCTCTTAGATATACCCTTAATATAGGATATATTCCTTAGGTGTGTCCATGATATTTAGGCAAAAATTCTATTTCCCCTTCTCATTCTCAGCTCCATGAAATAAAAGCAAAGCTTGCAATTTGCAAAGAGAAAGAAAAACAGGAAAAAGGAAAAGACACCAGACAAAGGGGCAATCATGGCCATCTATCTATACTGCAAACATCATTAGGGACCCTCCATCATTTTTCTCTTGACTGCTCCAAAGAATGTTGTTATAAACGTGAAACCTAACCATCATCTGATTAAGATACTTTATGGGGGCATAAGATTTCCATGCTGGACCCACATAGTGGTGTGGGTCTACTTCTTACTTCTTATATATGTGAACTACATAATTTGTGTCCAAGTGATCAATACTTTATATAAGCTAAGAATAGAAATAACACAAGGTCGAAGTAGATGACAAAATAAAAAGAGAGAAAATAATAGCACCATCCCAACAGTTACATTATTTTTTTCCCTACACTGGTAAATTATTAGCAAAAGAAAGGGAAAATAATAGTTGTATCCCAAGAATTATAACTGTCCATTATTTTTATTACCTGCAGCTGTAAACAATTTGGTGCTTCTAGTCCAAGTTACAGAATTTCTTTTTTTAAGAATATGATTTAACATAAATTCTAGTAATTAGAAGAGGTGGTGGTCCATCAAGTACACTGCTTTGTCTTGCTTATCAAGCAATCTACTAATACTCCCCACTCATCTTTCACTCTCTCTCTCTCTCTCTCTCTCTTCCCTTGTGTGTGTGCAAAACATTCATGGCAAAAGCATCATGATCAGCACTCCAGCTCAAAACCCATGTGAGTTTCTATCATCCCTTTTTCCCTTATTTCCATCTGAGTGTCTCACCGTGTCTTTCTTTCTCTCTCCCTAAAAATCTTGGCTTTATTATATGTCTGACATTAATCTGTTATGCTTAAATAATGAGACCGTAATTCTGCCTGATGTCGTCGTTATTACTCAAAGTTCCAAACTTTGTGACACGTATTAAGAAGTCACTATTTACATTTTAGTATTATATATATATTAATTAATATATATTCTATTTGTTTTTCCTGTTAACTTTTGATGAGAGCTAAACTGCAACTAGTGATAGAAACCAATATTGCATCTTAGAAATGGTTAAATCTAGTTCATTAAAAACGTTTTTGTGTTTCTTGTGATATAACTTTTTCCTAGTTATGTATATAATAAAATAAAGAGTATTACGGAAATTGTTGGGTTGCTATTCTTTTGAAGGGTATCCTTGATTAGTAACAGCTATGTGGCCGTTTTGTACCCTTTTGCTTTTGTAGTCAAGGCTCAAAGAAAGGTGTAATACTAGTAGGATAGAGGAGAGGAGAGAGGCTGGACTTTGAGCTTTAGTTAGAAAGAAAACCATAGAAAAAAACCAACCGGGTTTTCTTTCTTTCTATCTTGTTTCTTAGCTTCTCTTTTTTCCTCTCTCTCTTTCTCTCTCTCTCATAAACCGCCTACATACATGCACTTCTTAAATTAGAAAAGACTTAAAGGTACTATATGTGTGTTTGAAGCAGCCACCTTTTCCTTTATTTTTTTTTCTCACTGGCTTCAGTTAAAGTAAGCTATAGAGAGGGAATTCTGGCGTTTTCCATGGTTAAAGCAGGTTTATAGTTCAATTCTATTGCAACAATTTCCTCTTTCCTTCTTCTACGTTCTTCTTTATCTTATCCTAACCGAATATTTTCCCTTTTTTCTCCTGTTTTCCTGCATATTCTCATCTGGGTTCTGCAGATTTTATTGTTTAGGATTGATTTCTTCTCTAAAACAGCCAAGTATATGCTAGGGAGTTACTATTTTCAATCATCATTTTTTGTCTATATTCAAGATTTTTCTCTTTGTCCATCACTTCGTGTTGTTGTCTAGTTTTCTCAACCGGATCATCATCTGCTCAAGTACATGTATTTAATTTCTTGATATATATATATATAGTTCATAAACTTGTGAAAAATGATTAGCCATATTATTCTTATTTTGGCCTTCAAGTCACTGAAAATGATTGTAATATTCTCTTCATCCAAGTTTCTTTGTTGATCTTCTGTAGAAATTCATTTTTTCATTTATCAATCTCAGTCAGCTTTTGGATTTTCCTGAATATAGAGAACCAACTTGGACATGCTCAGTTGTGGACTGTTCCATAAAAAAAGAGTTGCAATATTTCAAAGCATCTGGTTTCATCAAGAGAGATAGCATAACATAGCATCCCTCACACACTCATACGTCACCATGAATAAGATCAGCAACTTGAGCTCTGTGAGTAGCTCTGATCTCATAGATGCCAAGCTTGAAGAGCATCAGTTGTGTGGATCCAAGCAGTGCCCCGGTTGCGGACACAAATTTGAAGGGAAGCCGGTACGGAAAAAAATCTCAATAATATTCTTGCCTTCAACGAAAAGCCTTTGACAATATGAAGAAGAATCATACACAAGAAAAGCAAAACCATATTAATATGCTTATGGCTGCTTTGTTATTGGCCTTGTACAATTTATTTTGATGGCGTTTCCCTTTTTAATTTTCCTTGGCTAGTTAATTAAAGGCTTCACCCTCTTTATTTTCTCTTTCCCTTGTTTTCTTCTTCTTTTTCTTCTTATCTTTCTCACTCTCCATATACTTTTAGCTTTAATTTTGGTTTTTTCACTTGAACTTCAATGGAGACTACTGCAGGATTGGCTTGGTTTGCCTGCGGGAGTGAAGTTTGATCCCACAGACCAAGAATTAATAGAACATCTTGAAGCCAAAGTGGAGGCCAAGAACATGAAATCACACCCTTTGATAGATGAGTTTATTCCCACTATTGAAGGAGAAGATGGAATTTGTTATACCCATCCCGAGAAACTTCCAGGTGTGAGATATGGTTAAAATATACTGAAAAAAAAATTCAAATCACCTCTCTTCAATTTCTAACTAATTAACTCTCACTACTCTCTTATCCGTTGTTTTTGGTTTTCTAACTATCTTATCCATATTAATCATTATTTAATTCCCAGTTAAGTTTTACTACATATACATAGACTAAAATCATTTTTGGCATTAACAAGAAATTTATATTATACTTAATATATCAAAAGAGATTTATCTTGCAGTTCACCAAAGTCGACCTAACTTTGATTTTGGGTGTGTGGTTCATATATCTATCCATCTAAACAGGAGTAACAAGAGATGGGTTGAGCAGGCACTTCTTCCATAGACCTTCAAAGGCTTATACAACTGGGACAAGAAAGAGAAGAAAGATACAAAACGAATGTGACTTGCAAGGTGGAGAAACCCGGTGGCACAAGACTGGTAAGACCAGGCCAGTGATGGTAAACGGAAAACAAAAAGGTTGCAAGAAAATTCTAGTCCTTTACACCAACTTTGGAAAGAACAGAAAACCCGAGAAAACCAATTGGGTAATGCATCAATACCATTTGGGTCAGCATGAAGAAGAGAAAGAAGGAGAGCTTGTGGTGTCAAAGATATTCTATCAGACACAACCAAGGCAGTGTAATTGGTCAGATAGAAGTGCAACAACTGGTGAAGGAAGTGGAGAGCCTAATAATAGCAGAAGAGACAGTGGAAGTGGAAGTTGTTCTTCCAAGGAAATAGTTACTCACAGAGATGAAATGTCTGCTGTTGTTGGTGTCCCTCCAATAACAAGTTTCACTCATCCTTTGGATATGCAACACCTAAAACCCGATCATTTTAGCTTCATCCCTTTCAGGAAAAGCTTTGATGAGGTACACTACACACATATATTATTATTATGTATATCAATCATGCAGCATTCAAACATGCTCTCATGTATATATATAGCATCACGTTTGATGGGACACTTGCATAGTTTTAATTCTAATTAGGCACCTTTAAGTTGAACATGATGTTTCACTTATATTCTTGACCAAACCAGACATAATTCACTGGATTTCAACATTCTTTTGCAAAAATTAAAATTTGCTTTTGCACCAAAAGGTGAAAATTAAAACATGAAAGGGTTAAGTTAGCTGCTGATATAACCATTGCTTGCACACGACGCATGAAATCTTATGGACTAGACTTTATTGTAAATCAGTATCAACCAACTACTACCTGTTTACCTACCGCTGAAGGTTACACCCACACTGATTAAAAGAACCAAAGCAACAAAGTTAGAGCTAAAATATCTACATTCATAGACCAAGAAAAATGAAAAAGAAGAGGTTGACAATTGACTTGGTATCTAGCTTGCTAGAAAATTGGGTGATACATAATATATTGTAATAGTTGAATGTGATTGTGGACACTGCAGGTTGGAATAGGAGAGGCTTCAACAGCAAGAGAAGTGCAAGCATCAGGTTCATGTGATGAAGTACATGAAAGGCAGCGACCACAACATGTAACTCATCATCATCATCATCATCATCAACAACAACAACAGCATCCTCATCACCAGATTTCAACCTCAGCTTTTCATATCAGTAGGCCTTCACATCCCATCTCCACCATTATCTCTCCTCCTCCACTCCATCACACATCCATCATTCTCGATGACAACTCTTACCACGTCTCTAGAATAATGCTCCAAAATGAAAATTTCCAGGTAATTAATCACCACTCAAATCCCATTTCTTAAACATGATTATATGGATGATTATAATTTTCCTCCTTTTGTTTTTCATAATTCAGAGCTATCATAGCTAGTAACAAATAATTATGTCAATAATATAAAGAAAGAGTAAGGGTTCATCTGTTAAACATATTAATTCAGTGCTTATTTAATAACTTACCCTATAAGAGCTTATATTGTGAAACTTATTAAAATAATAAGTTATTTTTTTTTATTTTATAAACTTTATTATGAAAATTATTAAAAAAATTTTAAAAAGATTTCACTAATACACACAAATTTTGTAAAAAAAAATTTCCAAATATATTCTAATGGGTCAATATGATATCCGAGAATAAGATATATCACTAATTAGGTTATCATATTCGTGAAACACAGTTTTTATTCTCTAACTGCTATCAATTGTCACAAATAATAATAACAATAAAGCAGAAAAAAAAATATATATATATATAGAGCCCAAATTTCAACTAAAGCATGGTTGCTTATAGAAATAACTATAGTTCCACATGTTCCTATTTTCTTAAAAAAAAATTGAGATATGAAATTTGTAAAGAACCTACGTTACGCTTGCTCTTATGTAACTATAATAATAATAATAATAATAATAATAATAATAATAGGAAAGGAAAGCGTAGTAGTAAAAAAAACGAGTCATTTAGCATGTGAAAATCCAATATGGAGTGAGTCTGCATGGTGTGTAGTGCATGAGTTAGACTCAATAACTTGGCCAGCTTTTGTAAGTGCTTGATAAATCACAAGCATGAAACTGTCTTTTCACTTTTTGAATGTTGTTCAACATGATGATTAGGATGTGTGTTTTGAATTTGATTGTTGACCTTGGAAATGCATCTATGGCATTTGTACACATGGCAGCAACAGCAGCAACAACATCATAAGCTTGGAGGAAGGTCTGCGTCTGGATTGGAGGAACTCATCATGGGGTGCACTTCAACTGAAATCAAAGAGGTAGGAGAGAACTTTTTGACTCGGAATTATATGAACTTTGTGTGTCATAATGCCCATAGAGAGAAAAAGAAAAAAGAGGTCATTGAATGAATAAATAATAATTTATTTATTTATTTATTTGCTTTTATTTTGAGGTCACAGTAATTATCATCCCAGTAAATAGAAAAAGAAAAATATATAGCAAAACAAAATGTGGGACACCGAGGCCGTAAGGAAGTTTAAAGGAAAAAGATCTTCTCTTTATTTAATTTTTGCATTGTACAAGAGATCGAAACTTCTGCTAACATCATTGTTTTCTTCCTACTAAACTACTCCAAATGTTCAATAGTTTTCTTTCTTTTTCTGTTTCTTTGCTCTCATAAACAAGCTAATTGATTAAGATAGGGGGAAAGGTGAAAGCAACCTAATTTTATTTTATTTTTTCATTACTGGCCGTGTTAGTAAAAACGCCCATTGACGTTTGACACTTTGAATATGAGGTGGAAAGGAATCATGAGCCAGTCAATTTCCATTTCCTTAATTATCATATGTTTCTTAAGAGTATGATTAAATTATATTCCACAAACCCTAACCCTAATTTTTCCATTTCTTACAATTCCCTTGCAGGAGTCATCCATCACAAATCCACAAGAAGCTGAATGGTTGAAGTACTCTTCTTATTGGCCTGACCCTGACAACCCGGATCATCATGGGTAAGAGAGGGAGAAAACCTACCAAAAAAAAAAACAGAGAAAAAAAGTGAGTGTGAGAGAGAAAACTGTAGAGAATAAACAAAAACCATATAGACAGCATCATTGTCATTATTATTAATGCTTGAAGCCTCCCTCAAGTTTCCTTACAACAAAAGGCCAAGAAATCATCCATAGTTTGCTCTTTTTCTTTCCTTTTTACCCCTATGGAGGCCTGTTTATAAAACTTTGGTGGCTCTCGCTAGAACTAACAGTGTGCAACGGTACAAGCTGGAAAGAAAGAACAAAGGGTAAAAGAATGTAAATCAAAGAAAAGAAAAAAAGAAAAGGAACCCAAGAAAGGCTGCTGTCACTTCTGACACATGGAGAGGGAACCAAAGACCCAAAGTAAATGTATCCTGCAGCATGAAAATCATCACTATTTTGATTACAATACCATCCCTCGTATTATTCTTATTATTTTATTATTTTGAAATGTTTGTATAATTTCACTTTTCTTGTTTTTTATACCAGAAATATACCAATGAGTTTGTGCAAACTGCAAACCACCTTGTTACTTGTGCTGTAGTTAGTCATCACTTTGTTGTTATAGTAAAATATTAAATGTTATTTATATTTATACCATTATATTTATATAGAAAAATGAAATGTTCAAAAGAGTTTGTCATTACGCTTCACTTTCTACTTCTTTTCATATTTTTGAAAGGTTTAGAGAGGAATCACATAGCTTTCGCTTTCTCTTTTAGAATTATATATATTATCGAGAACTTTACGTGGAACCTCAGGCGGTGCAAGAATTCTCAGGCTAAGTTACTCTCATGGCCTCGGTGCAAATCAAAATTGATTGTCACAAAAATATAAACAAAACGAAAACAGAAAGAGCGTATATATTTTTTTTTAAAAAAGAGGGGGGACAAAATAGGGGAAAAAAACTAATTTAAATGTCTAAAAGTGTTTAAATCCATTTTACAGGAATTAAATTATCATATCTTGCTAAGTTGATGGTTGTATATTTTAAAATCTTGGTTTAACAAATATACCTTAAGCATTATATAAGAACGTGCTTTTGAACTTTTACACAAGCTTATTTTGCATATCGTGTAATTGTTTTTATTTGTTTTCTGCGATACATTCAAAATCATGCACGCGAACATACATATACACATTATATTCTATCTATTTACATGCATATACATTTTTTTTCCATAATTTCGTTTATCACTTATTATTTGCAGCAGTTACGTACTTTTTCTTATGTTACATCCGTATTTTATATTGAATATAGAGGATGGAAGCAACCAATTAATTTTATTTTGTATTTTGCACTTATCCGATCTCATGCATAACAGCCACTACCATAAGTATATTTTTTACGCCACGGCATGTACAGTAAGCTGCACTAAATCTCCCTCGAAGCTTTACTGGTGCTGATGCCTTCCTATAATAGAAAGAAAACTTACTTTAAGAGATGAAGTTCAAGAAGATCTTTTAGTTTTGATGGGTCCCTTCAACTGACGAACGATCTCGTGTTTGAACCGTAACGTTATGTAATATGTACATGAAATGACTATGACTGCATTTATGTGTATGTGTGTGTGATGCCCTCGTTCAATAAAATTATTCACTTTTAATTTAAAATGAATTTTGGAATTTCACTTTAATTACTAGTGTAAAGGCATCTATTGACATATTTGTGTCTGTTATAGTGAACGAGGGAACCAAAGTTCAAATTTCTTGATTGAAAATTTTGAGTTTGATTTTGAATAACAATACAAGTTAGATTTATTGGTGAGATTCTTTTTTGATTTCTCGTTTAGTTTTTTTGAAAGAGAGTGATACTAAGAGACAGACACTTCTTTATTACTTTATTCTGAGTTAGATTCGATCTTTTCCTGCAGTGTTATAGAGTAAAGATGTACTTATCCCATCTGAAAGAGAAAGAGAGAGAGAGAGAGTAACGTGCATGTTAATGCTATCTTTTCTTTCATGGGACATGCATGATAAAGCTAAAATCAAGATGAATAGGGGGCAACCTCATTGTAATTTCTGAAGGGAATAAAGAGAGAATAAGAAGACAAGAATAAACTTTTTAGCTGCTTTTATTTCTGTGCTCTTTTAAACGACTACGTATCATCCCAGTCCTACCTTCCATAAGGATTGGTGTGTGTTTTTGATATATATACTTACTGAATATTGAGAGAAAGAAAGGCAACCATTTATAATCATATGTGTATTTCATTAATTAATTACACAAAAGTCTAATGCGAAACTAAATATGATATACTGTATGGCTTTGAATCTGTTTTAACCAAGCGCTTAAAGAATCTTGTCACTGTTTCTCAGATTGATATATAGGATTAAGTAATTAGGTTTGAAAGCATGTTCTAACATAAATAAACAAAGAATTAACAGAAAGAAAAGAGGAAGTGTCTCTTTCCACATGCCATTTAAAATTTAAAGGAGGCCTAAAAAGTTGATATTCAGTTCTTTCACTTTATGGAAGATTTTGGATGCTTTTGAAGAGAGGTATTATGGATAGAACGGTAATAGCAGAGTTAGGGTTTCTTGGTGTGCCAGAGATTTGGTCCCATAAAGAACTCGCAGGAGGAATGGTGGTTGTGCAAAGAAGAATATAACAACATGGTTGTTACCCAACTTTTCTGGATTCTTTCACATGGGCCCAGCTTTGGGCCTGCTTCCATTTTGAAGACCCTACCACCTCATGGTTTTCATTTCATAGCTTCGTTTCCCTTCAACTATTGTTGATTATTTATAAAATGCACATAGATTTCACAATGTTATTTTATGAACTATCTTATTCACAACTAGTGGAGTTAAGTTGCCATTAGATGCCAATTGCATCATTCTCTGTGAGTTTGTAAGTTTTATATTTCACGATTTGATTGAGCAGACCAGTCTATTTATTTGTCTTTTACACAGATAGATTGATAAATCATGAAAAATTTAGTCATGTCAATAAAAAGAAATAAAAGGAACCAGTATAAGACTATATAAAACATAATTAGTATAATATTAAGATGAAGCTATGTACAGTTACAAATTTCACATCTGTTACAAATTACTGGCATGTACAGTCAATCTCTCATTAAAATAATAAATTGTAATCTTGATCAGTAACTTCTGATATTATAAAATAGTCCATGCTATTGATGAATATTTTTTATTTTTTATATACTCGATAATGATGTTTTTGAACTACTACAAATGAAAAGCACATTATCACGTATATATAAAAAAATTATATACGTGATATTGATTCTTATTTCTCTAAAAAAATATAATGGATCACAAACAATTTTTATTTTCCAGTCCCACATCAAGCCGTTTGCAGGCTTGGTACGTATGAACATGTTCCAGTTAGGCCCATCTCAATGAAAGCAAACTCTGAAGCCTATCTTAACCAAGTCGCATCTCCCTCTCCTTGAGCCCAAGAAAATTCCATTAGATAAAGAAGAGGCCCAACAAAATTGTTTTCCAATAGACAGAATATGTATGCTGATTGATCAAACAAAAAAGTAATACACTGCCAAAAACCAAAAAAGAAGTTATGCCTTATTGTTCAGCTATTGTTATGGTTGTGGAATACAAGATGGGCCAGAAAAAGGAGTATATAAAAATTATATATATCACAATATACAGTCCTCTTTCCTCCATTTATTATTAAGCAACACTCTAGTGTTAGTCACAGTGTAATTATCTTCCACTAAAATCCATATAAAGGCATCCCGTTAGCCAAACCAAAGCATTGGATGTTGATCTACAACCAACAATCCCCTTCACAAGTAGTCAAAGCCTTTTCAATAATCAAACTATGCTGCAACCTTGGCTCTAATCTAATAACACCTGTTTGCAAATTAATTAGAATGACTTTTTTTAACAAATATTAATTTTTTTATATAAATATTGTAGGTATATACCGAAAATGTAATGTATTTTATTAACTGTATATATGAAATACCAATTATATATATATATGAAATTTTTATACCAATTAAATTATTTATTAGTGTAATATACACACACATCACACTGTCGGCATAAACTTAAAATACACATGCTAACAATTTCATTTTTGTTAAGTTTATTAAAGGGATAAAGTATAATGACTAAATGTTAATATATATATTGTTTTTTTAACAATGAAATGCACATTCAATTTCTCTCTTAAGGAAAATTCTCCAGCATCAGTTTGAATTGATCTAGTGCTGACGCGAGGCTAATTTTGGAGTGGACCATCTTAGCAATATGGCCGCTAAAGAAACTTCAATGGCATGTTAATCGGATCCTACTGTGTGGAATAAAGAAGGAGGCACTTGCAAATTAAGGTGATAATGCAGTTTATGCTAATATTTTGATCTTATGCTTATGCGTTTGAAACTTTATAAGCATTGGGTTTTGTTTTGCTTTTGGTCAACAAAAAGCATAGTGTGGAGTGTGGAGAAAATGTGTAGATTGTTTGTCTTTCACAAAAGCCCGAGTTCAGTAACCCAAATTTATTCTAATCAGTTTAAAAGAAAAAAGTGGTTTAGAAGAGACTGATCTCAACAAATGTTAGGGCTTAGAGTTTATAGCACGTGAGATTTTATCAGACCAAAAAAATGGGGAATTTCTTAAAATCTCAGTTCTGATGATTTTAAAAAGAATTTGGACCTTAATTTGAGAAAATATTCTTTTTTTTATTTTCATGAATAATTACAATTATACAACTTTATTTTTACTTTGTTTTCTAATTACAGTAATTTTCATTCCTTCTATTTCTAACTTTTAATCTTCTGTATTTTAATATGATAATTTAGTTAAATTTAGTAATACTTATTTATGAATGAGATAATTTAATCATTTTCTTAACTTTGTATAAAATATAAATTTGATAACATTCACAATGTTTTAAGTTATTCATAAAAAGACCCGACAATATATTAACTAAAGTAACATCATTCACAAGTTATACGTTAGTTATAATTAATGCTCAAATTTTTATATCTATTGCATTCTAAAATATACACATGATTCAACCAATTAGTGACTCTGGTGCTTCAGCAAGTGAATTTAATAACATACTCAACTGAGAGACACAAACTTGTTCTTTCCTCCACTTTTGGTATTCAAATGTACTGTTTGACAACTTAGAAATTTGCAACTTCATAATCACAAAAGATATTTTTATGTACCATTTTCTCTGGCTAAGTCCTAATCCATCAATGATACATGCTGGACACCAATATCTTGCCGATGAGAATAGATAGAGAAGTAAAGGCCAAGGAACATAACATTTATGTAGCAACAACCTCCAAGGATCAAAGATGGGACCTAAATCAAACTCATGTCGCAATAATTACACGTGACCACCCGCACCTAACCGGCTAACCCTATTGATATTGGTGACATCATATGCAACTTGCAAGTGTTAAAAGTAGATTTTGAAGGCAAAAATAAAGAATGAGAAGAATGAAGCAGATAGATAGCCTGTAGAATACAAATTGACTTGGCCTAGTATTATAATGTTTTGGCCATTTATTTGCATTTTGCAGTAAATAACCCCCCAAGCTTTGAAAAAGATTTAATTTAATAGATAAGCAATTTTGGAATTACTTAATTTATATTTTATATTTTAATTCGTATAAGATTCTTTATTACATCTTAGTTCCCATTATTTCAATAATACGAGAGACTAAATTAAAATATAAGCTATAGAAAAATTATAGGAACTAAAGTGTAATAAAAAAAATATGTTTAAGAATAAAAGTTTTTTTTTAAAATAAAGACTAATTTATGAATAAATATAACTATATAAATTAAATATATTTTTTAATTAACATACTCAAAATAACATACGTTGCTTATGTTGAATTAGAAAAGAGTTTTATTACCTAATTTATGTTCGTGGGTTAGAGTTGCCCCTTGTCTCATGTGCAACTGTGGATAAGACTATACCATTATAAAATATAAGGTCTTGCTATTAGTGTCTTTAATGAAGTGGTTAAAGAATTAAAATTTAAAATTTTTTATTTAAAATTTCGTTGAGATGCAATAAAAATTATCAAAGAAACTATATTAATAATGTTTTTTACATAAAAATTACCTTAAGTTTTTTAGCCAATTATTTGCCTTAAGTTCATATTATGTTGTAGAAGAGCTGATCAAGAGGAATCTTAATTTCCCTTTTTTCCATTATGTTTTATGGATCCTCTTTGCCCCTTTTTTCTTTGTGAATTGGAACAAATGTTCATGACCAGTCATGGAACTTGGAAGCTAGTTGCTTTTGATTAGTAATGGAAATGGCGTGCCCTAGCTTTCTTTCTCCTCGTTGTCACGCTAAACTTGCTCAGTCTAATGATTGATTTCTGGATCATGTCCTCATCATTTAGATAAGGAAGGGAACAATGTCACTAACTTTTGTTGAACTTCAGAAATTGTAGTTCAGTTAGTATAAAATTCAAAGGCATTAGTGCCACCACAATCATATCTAAACAAATTTTGTCCACTTTTGGGCAGAGAAAATCACCCAAGTTCCTGTAGAGAGACATCATCGACTGTCCCTGTTTCTCTAGAAATTTATATTTGTATTATAATTCCGCTTTTATTTCAAAACTTAATATTCACATGCAATATTCTACAACTATTTATAAAATGCAAAGTGGGTTCATGAAATTGACAATGCAAGCCTGTAAATGGCTCCGAATCCAGGGTATGAGTGGAAATGAAGTTTTGGATGCGTGATTGATGGGCGTGTAAGAGAGGGCACGTTGAGTATGGGAATTTGGATACATGAATCATGAAAGAGAAGGTGAAAGTTTCTCAAGTAGTAAGTTGATTTATGGGAAAGAGTAGAATTGTGTAGTTATTTCCTCAGAAGCATACATACTTCTAAATAATATTTGTGGTGTCATAATTATGCCGAGTACACATTTATTTTAGACATTGTATGAATATTTCAAATACTTATATTTTTGTATTTCATTTTTGAACTTTTATATCAATACTAATTGAAACACTAGAGTGATCATATTTATTTAAAGTTGTTTTATATGTTGTATAATAATTGCGACGTGTCTTTACAAAATTTACTGTGTTATCATATTCGGACTGTATTCATCTTGTCTGGGTTATTTATGTCTCATACAATGTTGGGAAAGTTGTTGTCCCCTGTAGGTTTCATTATGTTCAGTGTGCACGTTAGTCAAATTATAGTTTTTTTTTTAATCTTTTTTCTAAGATTTAAAGTTTCTCAGTTAGGAAATGTTTAATTTGGCTGTTTATTTGAATATACTAGCTAATTTGTAGGAGTGCTCAAATCCTATATGTGTATTGTTAATCCTTTTGTCACCCTTCAAATTAAGAGACACATTCCATAGGTAAGAGCATACCATCACAAATTTAAAAGTTTATAAAACAATTCTTATGAATCAATGGAGCAGGCACGGACAATCAGTAGCCAGCAGCAACCATCTGGCAACCATTGATCACAAATTTAATTACCTCTACCAGTTCCTAGAGTAATAGTACTTTGTATTTTTCTTATTTTCGTTTTCTCCTTATTGCTTGGTACAGATCGAGATTCACAAGATTAAATTCTCAATTCCTAAGGGTTGGAGGGTTTCCAAAAGGACGCGAGTGTGTCAACTAAGCTATATGTTCTAATTCTAGTAGAAGAGAGAAAGATGAGTGAGCTCCACTTCAGTAACATGGTGAGCAATACTGAAGGCGTTACTACACACCAACTTGGCTCTTTTTTTCTAGTGCTTTCTGGAGCTAACAAGCATCAAGTAGCTTTTACCACTGCAATTAACATTCTTAAATTACAATAACCAAAATCTTGCTTGGATAGCATAGGCAAGTGCAACCCTCCTAATTATCATGTTTTTTCACCTTAATCACTACAAACCCGTATTAAAATAAAATAGTGCCTTTTTAATAAGAAAAATCAAGTTTAAGTAATATAATCTAAGATGGACGGGCTCTCTTGTCTATCATTAATTATATCTATTTGCCGATGTTCGGATTTGTAATGCAAATAAGACCAAAACATCTGAAAGATGGCTTGTTTGTCTGTAGCCACTAATAATATTAATACATACCAAAAAGTTGTAGTGATTACTTATTAGTTCTCCCTTCTCACCTCACCACACTGTTCTGACACAGAAATTTTCGTTTAACAGAAGTCAACATCTGTACAGAAAAAAGGTAGACAAAGGTATGGCTCAAACTCATTACACAAACTAAAAGGAAAATGGGAGAGTGAAATAGGAACATTCAAAGAGTAATCAAAAAGAGTAATCAACCCCACCAGTCCACCACTCTCTCTCTTCAATGCAGCAACTTTATTTGGATTTTGGACAATCTTAGAAGCATACCCCCGAGTAAGCATCTCGGTATCTTGAGCTAAAAATGGAGAAGAGCTGCGTTCTGGCTTTTCTCCTCTTCATTCTCCATTCAAGCACAACAAAAGCTGCCTTTAGTGTAAGTGGTGGTGTTGGTGTAGGTGTAGGGGTTGGTGTTGGTGTTGGTATTGGCAATGGAAATGGTGGTGGTGGCAACAATGGTGGGGTGGTTTGGGTTGGAGGAGGGATTAACAACAACCCAGAACCCTCTGGATCTTCAGTGCCAGGGCTTGATGGAGCTTACACAGCACTGCAGGCTTGGAAATCTGCAATCACTGAGGACCCTCTTAAGATTTTAGATAGTTGGGTTGGTTCTAATGTGTGCTCTTACAAAGGGGTCTTCTGCTCAAATCCTCAAGATGAAGTGGATGCATCTGCTGTCCCAGTTGTTGCAGGGATAGATCTTAACCATGCAAATCTGCAAGGAACTCTTGTCAAAGAGCTCTGTTTACTCAGTGATTTGTCTCTTCTCCACCTCAACAGTAACAGGTTCACTGGCACTATTCCTGATACATTCAGAGACCTTGTGTTTCTGGAAGAGTTAGACCTCAGCAACAACCAACTTTCAGGTCCTTTCCCAGCTGTTACATTGTACATGCCAGGCCTCATCTACTTGGACCTCAGATTCAACTCCTTCTCTGGGTCCCTTCCTCAAGAACTTTTCAGTAAGAATCTGGATGCAATATTCCTTAATAACAATCAATTTGAAGGTGAAATTCCTCAGAATTTGGGTAGTTCCCCAGCCTCAGTGATAAACTTAGCCAACAACAAGTTGAGTGGAAACATCCCAGCAAGTTTTGGCTTCATGGGTTCTAAAATAAAGGAGATTCTGTTCCTCAATAACCAGTTAACTGGTTGCATTCCTGAAGGAGTAGGACTCTTCACAGAGATACAGGTTCTGGATGTGAGCTTCAATTCACTCATGGGTCATTTGCCAGACACACTCTCTTGTCTGCAAGATATAGAAGTTCTCAATTTGGCTCATAACAAGCTTTCTGGGGAGTTATCAGATGTAATCTGCTCTTTGAGAAGCCTTGCAAATCTAACTGTTGCTTACAATTTCCTTTCTGGATTCAGCCAGCAATGCTCAAGGCTTTTCTTTAGGAATGTGGGTTTTGATTTCTCACTTAACTGCATTCCTGGGAGGGTCATGCAGAGACCTCAACCTGAGTGTTCTGTGATTCCAGGTGGTAGCCTAAGTTGTCTCAGAATCCCCACACCAAAGCCTCTTGTTTGTGGCTCACTGGCTGTAAGTAAGTCTAAGCACATTGATCCCATTCCACCTTCTCCTTAATAGTAAGTTACAGGATGGTCATAACTGTTCATTATTTAGTGCTACCAATCTTAATTCACATTCAGCTAATTTAATTCTTCAAAGATTCAGTATGCATATTCGTAATTATACTTGGCGGACACGGATAAGACGTGCCTATATTTTGAACAAAAAATACCTGCGACCCTTCTAATTGCCAGATTCTAGCAATATCTATCTTGATTCTTGATTCGCATAAAGTATGGAAAATTTTATGTTTCCCGTGACATGTTTGTTTGATTTTGGTTACTTTAATGTTTACTAGTTTATCACGGGCTCTCCAATTATTCCTTCAACAACTTCACTAGCAGCATTCGACTAGGCCCTACTTGATTGCTTCTCAACAGTAAAACTTGACACCACTGTAATGCATTTGGTTACATCATAAGGTTATCCAAATTACTTGGAAAGGTTAACCTCTCCGAATTCCACTTCAATTATACAAATGGGAGATAACATAGGATTTCCACTGTGGCTTCACAATATTTCATGATAAGCAATTATTAATCAGTTATGAATGCAGTGATAAATTTGCATGCTGAATAGATTTACACTTCAGAAGTGCCGTTGAACAGCCAAATAGCTTAAAGCACGTATTGCTATTTGGTGAAGACCTGCTTAAGTTCCTTTTACAATAGTTTTATTAATTCTTCAAAAGCTTCATAAAAATTATTAAAGGAAAAATAAATATTTAATAATTTTAAAATATTGTTAGATAATTTAGAATTATTCCTCAAACTAAGTCATACGTGTAACATGCAGCATATAATACTTGTATCACTCGGAAACCTTGTTGTAACAACCATAATATTAACCTGAAAAATCGTGGACATTGGACTGGTATTACAACAAGCAATCATGAAAAAGAATACAGATTGCTGAGAAACCATTTTCAAGCTAATGGATATAATACATTGGGTTTGGCAGTTTAAAAGACCGCGAGGCCACTGCATAACCCCACAAATCACTCCACTGATCCCCAGAGCTCCCATGAATCCTGTAACCTTCGTTCACCAACTCTGCTCTCTTCTCAGACTTGTAACTAGTGGCTGGTTTGCCTTGATCAGAAGACCCTCTGTTTCATTAACAACAAATTTGAGGTTAAATTATTTAACAGTACAGAACACATATAGTTCTATGAGCCAATAATTTAAGTACCTTAAGATGAGTCTCTCCCAGTTTCGGTACCCTACAAGTAGAAGGTTTATCTCTGTGGCATTCCTTTGGTACTCGCTCCTTCCAGTTAAGAGAAATATCTTGAACCCCAATTCCTGAAGCTCCTTATACAACTTCAAACTGGCTTGCAATGCTGATCTGATCTGTATTCCAAAGTTTGAAACAGATTAACCATAATGGACTAGACCAAAGAAATTCGCATATATAGTTACCATGTGTAAAGCAAATCAATTCCAGATTTTAAATGTTGTGATCATGAGGTCTGGTTAAATCCTTTACTCTTGTTTTTCAATAGAAACACAGGTGTTTCACTCATTTTGGCAATTGAAAGAAAGAACACGTCTTCATGGTAAAATAACTTCCTATTAGGGATAACAATCGCATAAATAACATTTATTCATTAATCACCCCAAATTCCATAGATGCGAGAGCCATTGATGTTTCATAAACTCCTCTTCCTAATTTCTGAACTATATTTTCAGCATCCTTTGGGAAACGAAATCAATCTGTCAAAACACAACCCAAACAATTACAATTGTAGAATCCCATTCTCGTACAGTTACACCCTAAGACTACCTTTTTGTTAAAGGCTAGTTTCATTTATCAATGACTTAATCAAGATTTTGTTCCTTTGGTGTCTATTTGGATTTAATTAACTTTTAACCAATCAAAACTTTTATCCAGACGCAGCTTTCCAACTAAAGATTCTCACTGTCACTACAACGTTTAATGATAACCTATTTTTAAAACTCAAACCAAGCAAACTTATGTTTCACTTTAGTCCTCACATACATAATTTAACCATGTGCTTATCAATCAAAATTATTTTATTAAACAATTAAGCATCAAACCATTACTAAGTAATAACATTAAAAACAAAATTCTAAAGTAATTTATCACCACTCAACGGAACATTTTAAATCTAATAGATTAAATTAGAACAAATTGCTCTCCCCGTGATGTCAATGAAGTAGCATTCTGTATCAAAAAATTTAACACATTAATAAAATTGCATAATACAATTTTCAATAACAATTAATTATTTTTAAATTTATTAATATATGTGTAATTTCAAATAATTTAATTTGATAAATAAATTATTTAATGTTTTTGACATCTATCATTTATGTAGCTATTGACGCAATCATTTACCCGAAATCGACGTCTGCGTAATACTGCAAATTGGACAACAGCGTCTCGTCGATATCGAACACCCACGCGTCTCTTCCATCTTCGCCCAATCCCACACTCTTCGCAAACGCCGATGAAAAATTTCCGACCACCTCAATATCCCTCCAATAATGATCTCCGTACATGTACTCCTTCACGAACCCCACGCAACTCGCCGGCACTCGCCCCCAAGCGCCTGCGTTGTTCGTTTCTACCGCCAGCCTCCAACTATCGCAGTACGCGCCGGTAATGTCCTTTTCCGACGGCAACTTCAACGTGGATTCCGAATAAATGCTACTGATCGTTGAAAGGAACAGAAGAAAGATGAACGACAAGCCAGAACCCATCGCCGGAAAACGTATAAGCCTCAACGGAACAGCTTTCCGGCGAGCTTTTTTATTGATTTCGGAGATCACAAGTGAAACATGAGGGAAAGGCATTCGTGGATGCTATGTTCCATATATACAAACAAAGATTATGATTTCATGAACGTCATTTATTTATTTTTTTATCGTTATTAAATTATTAATTATATTTTTTTCTGTGGTCCAAAACATAAAATTATATAAAGTTGGGTTTGATTTTTTTTAAAACAAAAATAGAAGGTTCAGTTGTAAAAGGCCCAGGTCATATTGCCGCAATGCAAGCCCAAGCCTATCCGTACATTGTGAGAAAAAGCTACTGGACCCAAAAAGAAAAAAAGAGTTAGTATGCCTTTAAATTAGTTTATTTTAGATTGAAAAGGGTTTTCAATTAAAAATTTCTTAAAACTGCTTTTAAATTATATAATTATTTGTAAGATTAGAAAAACTCTTTTAAATTGAACTTATAAAAGTGTATAAATAAAAAACATTTATTCATAAATTTTAATAAATTGCAATTGAATATATGTTCTAATTAGGGGGTGTATATATTGACATTTGTGCATTTTATAAGCGAGTTCGATTTTAAAGAATGTTGATTGTGTGCTGTGTGTGATACCTGTTATATATATATATATTATTAATAGATGAATGATTAAATTTATTATTTTTGAATTTTAAACACTTAGGTTATGTATAGTTTTTATATAAGATTTGTATAGCATATTACCATATGACTGCTGTCTAAACCTATGTGCCTTCAAATACTAAATGAAATTGTCTCTTCAACCTTGTGACAGCCAGAATTTTTCTAATTAGATTATGAAATTATTTATTTATTTTTTGTCTTACTATTCAAATATTTATTTAAAATGTTTAATTCTTGGGTGTGCTCAGTTCATTAAGCAAACATAGTTACTATCTCAGTGATATAATATAAGAAAATTACCCAACAAATTTTGTTCTAATATAAAATATCTTTTTTATAGTTTTTTTTATCCAAGATATTTCACATTTAAGTAAGATTTAATTCATTTTAAAATTTAAAAATCATTAAAGTGAACTTTTTTTTTGCTAAGTTAAAGTGAACTTTATTTCTTTTAATAAAGTCATTTTCTATTTATATACATAATTAAAAATTAAATAGTAATCAATATACTTAAAAAAATTGTAGTTATCTACTATGATGAGTTTTATTGTTATCTTCTAATTTATTTTAGTAATTGATGAATTTGTTTTCTTCCTATTGCATTACATGGTCTGTCCATACAATGAACCCTGACTAAAAGTGTCAAATATTTTAAATATAAATATTGAGTTCATTTATCATATATTGAATCAGGATGGGTCAACACATATTATTGTCACACTGTAAAATCGGATAAAAGGAAATTTTAAAAGAAATAAAAAGTTATACGGTTGATTGTGATAATATATTAATTAAATCATAAAAAACAGTGCTATGCATTTCATATAAAGAAACTTGGAAGATAAGAAACAAGCCACAAAAATGTCAAAAGAAGGAGCGAGATACAAAAATGATATAACATTTATTAAATATTTTGAAATAAAGAAACACATAAAAAAACAATAAATAAAAACCTAAATTTATAAATAAATAAAAAATGAAGATATATAAACAGACATTTGCCTGTGGTTTGTCTGTACAGTTCACTACAAAAAAAAATGCAATTAAAATTAACAACTCTCCTAATTTAACTCGACCTCAAAGTTGAACCAACAAAACAAGAAGACTTGATTAATTGAAGGTGTATGGATCTATGCTCAAACCAAAGTTCCAACTATGTACCAAGTACTAAGGAACACATTGGCTGTCACTGCAGCAGATAGTAAGAACTTTGTAATTAATGCAAAAACAACAATTCAATTAATTCACTCCAAGCAGGTTATGGAAATGACACTTGTTCTTCATGGCAAAGCTCCTTTCTAAGTTTATGAGAGAAAAGTTGGCAAGCATCCATGCTAAGATCAATGGCAGCAGAGAGTGCAATGAACAAAGCAGCATCAGCCATGCATGTCACATGCTGTGCACCAACTTGCACCACAGGTTTGCTAACTTTGCCTTCACCCTCCACAGTGGAACCCATCACAAACCCTTTTCCTGGTAACCTTGAACCCAACCCAGAATCTCTCATCACTTTATAATCAATACAGAATTGGCCACCCTTCTTCACATTCATTGTGGCCTCAGCAATGGGTATTCTATTCACAGGTCCATTCTCAGTTACAAGCTCAAACTTGTAGCCCAAACCATCAACATGACCTCTTTCTCTCCAAGCTTCTAAACGTCCCCAAGGCTTCCAGCTACTCACAGATGCACCATTGGGGCGAAGAATGAGCCATGCACCTGGGTTTGATCTTGATACTCTATCTGAACCTGGGGAAGGGACGAATGGGGTGATCATAGATGCAGCAGCAACAGGTGAACCAGAGAGATCATGAACCATTATCATCCAACCTTTTCTCTCCCTCCCATGTCGTTCTCTAACTCCTTTTAATGTTCTTCTCCATCTACTTGGGTTGTTGGTAAAATCTGAGGGTAGAGACCTGAATTGTGGACGTGGAAAAAATAAATCATGAACAAGTTGTATGGTTTATTAAATTAAGAAGCGTATAATAAAACAAAATCATACATTAATTAACTCGTAACAATTCGCAACCTAATGAAAAATTGTCAAACGTGCTAGGATAATTAATTATATGAGATATTAATACTCAGCAAGATACTGGCACACGGGAGGGAATCCTCGGCAGTTATGTTTCACAGTTTGGAGAATCTCATTCTGTTTGTTTGACCAAACCTTGGTTTGCAGCTAACCAAAAACCATTTATTCTGCAACATTAATAATTTGTGCCAATATGCACTCCATTTCGAAGTAAAAAATTTGGTCAAGGACCTCGAGGTTTAGCTTCAATAAAAAAATCTCATTAAATAAACCACCATTAAAAAATCAATAAATAAAAAATATTGCAAATTAAGTTATGTCGTATTGAAAATAAAATTAAACTATGATTGAAAGCACGTTAATAATATTTTCAATTCCTTAATTAATTTCTTTATAGCATATACTATTTGCAAAAGAAAACGGGTAACTAACCTCACGGTTTAAAATTAAGTGATTGATTTTATTTTATTTTTGCATGCAAAGAAAACTTGTTAAGCTATTGATTCAGCAAACCAGGAGTTTTACTTAAAATCGGGGACACTAACGTTCAAGGCAAGGAAGCGATTGTGCACCAAATAGTTACATATCTAAGGCTCTGGGTTCCTCGTAATAACCTATAATAAATTTAGTAACCTATATGTTTATGGTTTATCTTATGAGAAACGAAAAAAATATGCTGGAAGACAACATGATTGAAAGAAGGAAAACTGTGGAAGTGCCAAAGTGGCAGCATATTTGTGACTAGGAGGAGAGTGGAAAAGGTGTTGGGAATGTCAAAATATCGAGGGTCAAGGGAAGTTTTCCTAAAGTGGAATTGCCAGCAAAGAAAATAGACTCAAGAAAATGAAACTTTCGAGGTAGCAGTGCATTTTCCATGTTTCTATCACGAGAAACAGAAAGAAACAAAGGGCGGCTACGATACCCACCAAATAGAATGGACACAAAAGGATAACAACTAAGCCACGACACGAACACGAGAAACATGAAAATGAATTGAGCTGGATAAGGTGAGAGACCCGACTTGGCATGTGCCCATGGTTAGGTACCAACCTCAAAGATATCGACAACCCAGCCCACATGCCTAAACCTCACCTTAATTCATATCTATAATTAACCTACCATATTCCCCCCACTAGTAAATTTCCCAGCCTAAATTTATATCAATACAATTTTATATATTGTAATCTAATAAATTATTGTATTCTAAATAATTAATAGTGTAAAAAGTTATAATGTGTTAATATACAAAAATTAAACTCAATTTATATTTCGTCTATTATTATTTGTCTGTATGATACAGACAAACTTTAGAAATAATGTAAAACCAATTAATTGAATGGAACAAAATGTAAAAGATTAATAAAGTAAACTGTTTTATCTGTGCAACCTCTATCTCTATAATACTCCAAAGAGAGTTTCTTTTTCTTTTCTTTTTAAATGGTAAAAAAATCATTTTTCATATCTAAAAAAAGGGTAAAGCTGCCATTTTCAGCGGTTGATTCACCAACCATGGTTCATGTTCATGCTAGCACACAGAACGATGGAAAACTAGAATGCAAGGGGAGAAAGACTCACCGAGATCTTGAGTTACGATCAGCGCTGAACTTGCAACTAAAAACGGGTTGTCTAATATTCTCCTGAATCTGGAAAACCACGGGACTACACTCCGGTTCGCCTCCGAATTGGAAAACGAACCGGGGATCCGATTCGGACCGGACGAGCAAGTGAAGCCGGGCCGAAGAGCCAAGCTTGAGCCAGCCATGGTGGAACGTGTTGGAGCGTGAGAGAGCATCGTTGAGGTTAATGGTGACGAGAACGCGGCCAAGCAACTTGGCGCTGGTGACGCCACACGCGCGGGCCATGCTGCCGGTGTAGACGGCGACGCGAAGGGTGAGGGGCTTGGCGGATAGTCGCCGGAGAGCGGCGGAGTCGAGGTGGAAGCCGGCGGCGGAGGTGGTAGTGTCGGGAGAAGAGTCTCCTGTGGAGGAACAGAGAGGGAGAAGTGCGGTTTGAGAGGGAAGATTGTTGATGCGAATTTTGCAGAAGCAAGGAGTGGTTGAAGGATGAACCCCTGAGAGTGGTGAAGGTTTGGTGGCTAATGGAAGCTTCAGCGCCATAGACTCAACCATGAGCCGCACGAATGGGCACGGATCCATGTACTCGTTGGGTTGTTCCTTTTCCAGTCACTGGGTGGCTTTCGGAGAGGTCCAGAGTCTCGAAAACATCGACCTTTTTATGTTATAGGAACTAGGATGGTGTCGACAAGGTTATACCACGATTTTCACAGTTGTCTCTTAACAGGGCGTGGATTGGATTTTCTTCTTTATTTTATTTTTTGGGATTGGTTATGTTAGCGAGAAAACAATTGAATGAGAAAACCATGATGCATCGATGTGATGAATGAGAATGATGATGAGAATTTATAGTTAGGTATCACAGTTGGCCTCTGTCTGTGAAAGATGAGTTAGAAAAGGAAGAGTAAAAATTAAAATGCAACAAATCATTTTGTTGTTTGGTTATATGCTAATTTTTCCGCTGATCTTAGGCAAGTGCTTCTATGATACAGGGAATCTCGTTGGATGTTCCCTGTTAATCTTTTTTCCTCATGGGGGATGATTTTTTAATCTATGCAACTTTATGTAAGATAAATAGTTATATATAATTAACATTATTAATAATTATTGAATTTATATTTTTTTATAAAAATTACTTATGTGTAAATTTTTATTTTATATAATGTGTAGATTAAAAAAATATTTTTCAAATATATTGTCAGAAATTTTAGATTTTGGATCATGATCCTGGAAACATTTTTTTTGGCTTGTGTATTCTTCAGATGGAAAAAAATATATAGTGTAAATTAAGTAATTAATCTTATAAATCATAATTTCACTCCCCTCTCTGCTCCCTGTCTCTTAATACAATATTTACTAGCTAAAAATTTAACTAAGCAAGAAATTTAATGATCTCTTTTTCTTAATTTACAATATTTTATTTGAAGAAAACATTTAAAATAGAGAGATGTGAAAATATACCACGGAACACGGGATGAATATTTCAGTTTAATTTTAAAAACTTGTTCAATAACCAAAATTATACGCATACAAAAATATATGGATTTTTTATCCAAAAATTAATGATACCTAACTTTAAATTATCTCTGTCACAAAGAAAAAATAAATATGAAATAATTTTATGTTTTTTAGATAATATCATAAAAAAATCTTTAATTAATTGTAACAAATTATTTACAAATAATTTATCGTTAATTAAATTAGCTTCTATTAATATAATTTTTAACAAAATTAATTTATTCATTTAAATATTATTAGTTTATATTAATAAATTATAATTATTTTAAAAAATAAATTAATTAGCATAAAATATTAATATAAATTAGTAACACATCAAATATTAGTATAATGTTGCGCACGCCACAAATTTTTTTTTTCTAACAAACATATATTATATATAAATATATTAAATGAGAATTATTTTTACATAAAGATGAGAACAACAAAAATTATTTGTTAAATCTTATTATTGATTATTGAAACTAAATTATACAAATCATGTAATTTTTCAAAAAAGTTATGTAACTCCTTTAAGTAATTTTGTGGTTTTTAAAAAAATCATTCTTTATTATCTACACATAATTATATAATTTAAATTTACTCATTTCACTCTTACCTAAAAATGACTTTACTAAATCTATTCATTACATGTATATTAAAGATCTACTTTACTAATACTTAAATTGAACAAATTATTAAAATGAAAAAAAAAATCCTTTTTTTAATCATGACTCTAAAGTTATTGAAAAGATATAAGTGAAGTAAAGACACATAATACCTTAGAGATGTAATTATTAACATGAAACCAAAAAGGAAGTGCAACTTAACTGATATTGAACACATTTAAAATGATAACATTCTGATTTTAAGAACTTGTGGTCGGTGCCAATTAAAATGAAACAAAATAAAAAAAATGAATGTGATCTTTATTTAAAAGTATTAGTGAATATCAACTTGTGTAATTATTTTTTCTTTTTTAAGAATAGAAATGCATTCATGGTCTCTATGAAAGATTAAAGTGGATCAACCTTGGTATCTATGCCACCCCAATTTAACTCTTCAGTATTTTCTGAATAATATAATCAGGACAATAAAAAAGTTTTTGTCTAAATTTTAACATATATATGTGTATAAAAAAAAATGAAGATAACTATATATATACATTACCATTTTTTTCTTCAAATAATAAAACTGATCTTTCCCCTTTCATCATTGACCTTTTATTCCACGCCACCTCACTGTCCTCAGCTTCTAAATAAGCCTTTAAGCTTTAAATAACTAATTTGGGAAATTCTTGTTCATGCCGATGCTCTATTATCCATAAGGAGGCTCTACCCTTTATGCAGAGTATGGTACCATGGTTAAATTATGTTCCTTCTTGATAAACGACTGTCTTCAACCTCTGTTCTGGTGTCCTTCTGACAATTGCTGATGTAGGAGGGTACCTGCAAAAGACACTCCGATGTTGAAGTTAGGATTCGGCTCAGAGTAATAAATGATATTCAATAATAAAGAGTCAACCCTTTATCTGCTCTTTCTACCTTTCTTTTATAGACACTGTAATGGGCTAATGGGCCTGAGTCAACTCTGACTTTTGGCCCTTTTCATGGTTTGATAAAATTCTAATTATTATTTATCTTTGAATCTTAGAGATACTGATTTAGACTAGCCGAATAGGTATTCAGTTTCCTTTCTTCTATATGTAGGGTCTATCAATTTCCCTATCTCGTACAAATTATATTCTAAAGACTATTAATTTGCATGATAAATAAGAACTAATGAACGAAAATCTCAACTAAGGTAGGACGAAAACATAAGAATACTTCAAAGTTTGAAATCATTCCACCACTATTATTAACTACTAGATAACAACATTGAAGTTCTGTTGAACTTAGTCCACCAAATTAAATGTAATAATGAGCAATGATTTAACTTTTGAACAAGTTCATCAGAATCTTTATCGATCTGTGTTTTTAACATGAAAACTTCTATTCAGTTACTTCATACGACATTGTTGAGTCAAATTGATGATGTATTCTAATTAATTGATATTGTAAAACTTTTTATATATACTAATACACTAAAATCAATCTCAAGGAAATTAATTTAAGGATATTCTTCTTTGCAAAAATATATATAACAAGTAGTTAATGTAGATATTTATTTATTAGTATATTATTATGTATGAGAAAAATGGGTTATATTAAAGCGTGGGGTCCCTCAACAGCTGGATTTAGGCTGTCATCACGTTGTAAAGGGATTGGAAGGAAGTGGTTGGGTGGGTTGGATTCGGACAAACCCAGAAAATTTTTCCTTAGCATCATAATCCATGACTTCTGCATTAATTTGGCACATTCTTCTCCTACTATAAACCTTGACTTGACTGCGCTTTACCATTTTTTGGTTCATTTATATTATTGTTTGGTAAAGTGCAGTGATGATAAGGAACCAAAGACTGTTTAATTTTCAGCGTCAACCCTTCATTGCAGTTTTGCTGGTCGACAGAGATTAAGATTGCACAATCCCATGGTTTGTTGATGTTCATACCATAACACTTCTAATTGCGAAAATTAAGTCAAGTCTTCCAACTTGGAAGTTGGTTATCTAAGTCTAGCTTGTGACTGTTGGAAAGCTATCTTTACTTACCCCATCTTTCTGGTGCCATGGTGCCATGATCTCATTTTGTATCCAACTTATATCCAATAAAAACACAGTTATATCTGATAAGGATGTGATTTTTATTATAATAATTTGTATATGCAATTAGAAAAGTAGTTTTCAATTTGACAGATAGGTTCATATAATGACAAACATTTTAGAAGGTGCAATTTTTAAAAGCTTTGTCAATTGGTTCGATAGTTATAATGTTGTTGTATTCATATACCTTGTGAATAAAAAAACATCAGTGGGCAGTTTTCGTTATGAAGATCAGCGAAATGATATTTAAGATATAAATTGATAAAGTAAATTACGTATGAATTATGAAATTTTATCTCACAGAGTCTCTATATGTGTGCGCTCACCTTTAATTTCAGTAGATTATATTAGAATTCAGTTCATATTACTTTTTCCTATTTTCATTATTTGATGTATCTCAAAGAAGTTTCTCCACTTTTCAACACAAAGTTCTGTTTGTAAATATGTCAAATTTTCATAAATAACTTGTCTTTTATGCGAAAAGTTAATTATATAAAAATTAATATTTTTACATTTGAATGTGTAGTTAATCATGAACTAATTTTACTACATTCAATTCATTTGTAGCCATGACGATATAAACTCATTTCATAAAATTTAAATTTATGAAAGAGATTTATACTGATAAAGTACTCCTGCGCAACATTGTAAATTAATATAAGCAAAACTCTATCATGATTTATATATCTAGCTACGACCAAAGACCTCTACATACACTCGCTTATGTTGTTGAGACTTCTCTTTATAATGAAAAGAAATTAGCATAACAGTCTCAGTATTTAAATAATTAAAAATTGATAGTCTATATATATAATATTATGTATTATATTTTATTTATTTATTATTTATTTTCTTACACATACGTATCATAAAACTGTTCAAATAAAAAATAAGACACCAAAAGTTATTCAAGAGAAAAATTATTGATGACATAAAGGCTGGAAAGTGGATGTTTTTGTACTATTGAACTCAAAAGAAATCATATGCATAATTCAGTGAAGGATCACTGTGGACTGTGTAGTGATCAACTACATCAAAGAACGTTCACTGCATGGTGGATCCTAAGAAAACCAAATCTGACATATTTGTGTGAACACTGCAAGCTTGACGTAGCTAGGTAAATATTATCATCTGTAATTTTGTGCCATACCAAATTAAATGCCACATTCCCCTATTCCTTTACACTTTACATAAACAGCCACCCTTATGATCAATATTGCATCAAATCAAAAACAAGAAAAACCAGAAAATACTTTATGTACTGTACAAGTATTTATAATAATATGAAAATGTAAAAATATAAATAAATAAAAAATTGTGTTGTTCTAATTCTGTGTTAACTGTTATCAACATATAACTACTAGTAGCTAATATATAATACACAGAGTAATCAATTTATTTTCTAAGTTTTCAAAGAGGAGGACATGAATGCGATGGATGGATGAATGAATGAATGAATGAAGAGTGATGTTTTTGGGTCTTTTCTAGGAATAGGTGAGTCCAGGTTGGCAATGGCCAATATGATGATGGCCGTACATTGATAGCATAAATAAATATAAACAGTGACATTCTCCATTCCCATTGCCAAAATTGCCAGCATCAAATATGGAGGAGAAGTTTGGTGGGTAGACAGGCCATTTGGGTTGTGATTTGCATATTGATATTTGGTCAAGAGATTGAGGTTTGATTTGAGTGGGGTCCATCACTGCAACACAACACCTCTCTGTGGACCCCCTCTCCATGCTTTTGCTTTACTTTGCATGATATTAATTCCTGTAATCATTGTCCATTAACAGTAAGTTTGGCTTCGCACTGAACCCATTCCATCTACACACGATAAATTTTTGGGTCCTGTGGAACACGTGATTTCAGTCATTCACACTTTGTCATGTGTGTTTTTCTTTATAAAAAATATATATTTTTATGTAATTATTATTCGAGATGTTTAAAAAAAAAATTAATTAAATATTTATTAAGGTTTCACTAAATTTTTACTCTAATTTTTAAAAATTATTTCACATCTCAAGTCTATAATAAATGGTGTTTTTTTAAAAAACTTACCATGGTTATCACTTCAGGCAATAATCATTATCCTCTATTCACTGTTAAAATAATTTTATATTTTTTAATAGAATAAAAATTTAGGAGGGCTAAGTATCATTTGTCAGAAAATTATAGAATTTTACCTCAATAACATGCAATATCATTAAAAGTAAACATTTTATTTAAAAATAAATTTTAATTAATAAATAGAACGAACACCTAAGTTTTTTTCCTTTTCAATATTTGATTCATGGATGATTAGTTTTTTCATTTTTGTTTTAATTGTCATTCATCGGTGATTAGTTAAAGTTCAGTATTACATTTTTGGGTCAGTGATGAAGTACATTAGAATTTAGCGTTGTCCATTTTTCTTTATTGTGTTATGCAATTAATTAATGGGCTCATCGGCTCCATTCTTTCTAAGGAGAGTGAAACTGACTAAAGGCCCAAGCCTGTTAAAAATTGAGTCAACGGTGATCGTAACATAAACTTATATAAACATTCAATTTATTAAAAAATATATAGAATTATAAATAAAATTTATTAAATAAAAATAAATTTGTATAAATTTTGACAAAAAAATATATTAAAATTTTTATTATCAATATTTTTTTAATCTTATACATACTTTATTTATTTGTTAATAGTATAAAAGCTATAGTCCTCATATTTTGTGGGTACACGAACAACTAGGATATGGTCTTTTGAGTGGACGCGCATTCAGTTTAGTGATTGAAAGTGCAGTCACTTTATTTTGCATTTTTGTTAAAAAAAATTTGTTTAAATGATAGTGTAAAATTTTGTTTCACTGGACTGTCCAGTTCCTCCAGAACCCAGATCTCTTTTGATTTCTGTGCTTAAAACATGAAGAAAAAAAAGTTTTTTAAATACAATTTTTAAAATGAAAATAAGACAATAGCTTTATAATAAAAAAATGAAAACAGTTAAATTTTTACCTATCCCATAAAACATTAAAACTTAATGATCGACTCTCTCATTGTGATTATATCTTCGCATCTGAATGGAATAGCGTTCTTGATTCTAATAAATAAAATTGATACTATTACTTACACGTAGCAATATAAACAACAACAATAATATTATTAGCAACACTTATATAATATAAAATTATAAAAAAAAATCATGTAAATGCAAAAAGTAATAGAAAAATATAATATTACATGAACATAAATTAATTTCTATTTAAATGACTTTAAAGCTTTTGACATGACTAATTTTTTAATATTATAAGTGCACTAAAAATGCCAAAAAGGAGTGTTACAATATTAATATTGAAGTTTTTACAACAGTGAATGTATAATATACTGAAATTAAGTACTTAAAGCACTATACATATTAAATGTTATAACAAGTATTATTTTAAGTAGTCTAAAATTAATTTTTGTTTAGGGTTAGTGTTTATTAGTTTAAAAGAATTTGCACAAAATATGATTTAAATATGTTAAATAGATTAGTCTTATATATACATGTGAATATAACAAAACTTAACATCAGTGGAGTAGTCTTTCAAGCTAATTTTAAAAATTTTTGATTTTTCATTCATGTAATATCTTATAAATTTACTATGCATAAAATAAAAATAGAAATTGGTATTGAGAAAGGAATATAATATGCATGGTAGAGAGAGTGTGTGAAAGAGAGGTGGAATTGAGCCCTAAAATGAAGGGAAGGATGAATGGCAGGAATTGGAGGAAGAGCAAAAGGGACGGTCATGTCGTTAGTGATTCCGCATCACCATGCAAATATGCATCTCTTGTGTTTAAAATAACATTTCAAGGCTACACAAAGAAAGAACAATAAAACCAGAAAGCGAGTGTGTGAGAGAGAACAATAAGAAAGAAGAAAATGTCGTGGCAAACTTACGTAGATGAGCACTTGATGTGCGATATTGATGGCACAGGGCAGCACCTCTTCGCCGCTGCCATCGTTGGCCACGATGGTTCCATCTGGGCTCAGAGCTCTTCCTTCCCTCAGGTATCTATCTTTCCACCTTTTCTTACATATTTGGGTGCAGTTGCATATTGTTTTTATGTTATGTGACATTTCTCCTTTAAAGCTGTGATCCATTTTTATGCTTCTTTTCAGTTTAAGCCTGATGAGGTCAATGGTATCATGAAAGATTTTGATGAACCTGGTTATCTTGCTCCTACTGGCCTGCATCTTGGGGGCACCAAATATATGGTAATCCAGGGAGAACCAGGAGCTGTCATTCGTGGGAAGAAGGTAACTTAGATTGTTATAATCATATCATATTTAAGCTATTCAATCTTGCTAAAAACAAAAGACGTGATTCTTTGTGCAACCAAAATTGATGTTTTGTGAATTAGGACACAACCAATTGCATTTAGGAATATATTCATCACATCTTTTTCACTTTTTTTAATCTTTGTTTTCTTTTACTCGTTTAACACAGGAAAAGAGTGTGAATGTAACATTTTTCTTTCTTCACCTTAGAATCCTCACAATATGAGCTTGTTGAACAGGGATCTGGAGGTATCACTATAAAGAAAACTGGGCAAGCTCTAGTTTTTGGCATCTATGAAGAACCTGTTACCCCTGGGCAGTGCAACATGGTTGTTGAGAGGTTGGGAGATTACCTCGTTGATCAGGGTCTGTAGACCAAATGCAGCAAATTTTTTAACATGGATACTTTTTTATTTGTTTGTTTACTATTGTGATGTGCACCCGTTTCAACCCTATTGGGAGTTGGCGCAGAAAATAACAGTATGAGAATTAAGATGTTGTTTGTTTCAATGTTTAAATTTCATTAAGTACTTTAGTGTTTTTGAATGTTGTTTTCTTTCCACTCTTGTACACGTGTATTACAAATAATTTTATACTTAATATTTACTTTACACAATATAAAAAAATTAAAAATATATAAGCGAATATAATAAATTTTTTCATATATATAATTTGTTATAAGTTAAATTTTAGTAAAAGTTGCGTAATGTTTACAGAGATTGATATTTTATTACTTAAATAAAATTGAATAAAAGATAAATTTTAAATTAATAAAATACTATATATATAAAAAGAATTATTTAATATGATTAACAAAATAACTTTTCAAAATGATTTTATTTAATAAATTTTATGAAAATGTTCCGATTTAAAATCTTATTTTCAATAACTCTATATAAAAAGATATTCATAATAAGTAAGCATGAATATTTATGAATATCTTTTGAGTTTGATTAGCTTATAATACAGTTGGATAAAATTGATTTTAAAGAGTTGGGACAAATTATATTAGAATATGTATTTTTTCATAAAATATGTGAAAAATAATTTTTTAATGATTTAACAAACTAAGCCTCTAAAATGTTAAAAAAAAAAAAAAAGGTGATATGTATAAAATAATGTGTCATGATTTAAACATAAAATCAACACTTAAAACTGCGGCAATGTGTTGTGTTCTTATTTTAGATTTTCTTTTCTTTTCACAGCAAAGAGTGAGAGATGTAAAGAGTGAATTCACTCAAATTGGCTAATTTCTATCATTATTTTCAATTCAACCAAACTGGAAAAATAAATTAAAATGTATTCACTTCATTTAATTATAATCCACCTATTTCAATAGAAAAACAAAGCGTAAAACTTTAAGGAAATTTCATTTATAAAGAAAAATATTAGGAAAACTTGTGTTATGATGCATGGGCTATAAGCAGGGTAATGAATGCATAAATATTAAATTATAAACCAAACAAAAGTTTTAACATCACATTAATTATGAATCAATGGTTTTAAAAAATTAAACTGTCAATTGAAAACGAAGAAATAATTCTCTAACCATTTATATCTTAACAATATAAAATTAAAAGAAAATCCAACTTCCCTAAGAACCATTTGTGATCTTAAGATAAAACAATATTTAGAGGTACTTTTACTCAATCCTACAAAATATTTCATTCAACCTGCTAATTCAGAAGTGCATCAAGAGTCTATCTAACTTTAGCCTTCACCAATTTTCTTGTATATTAACAAGAATATTATAGTTTCAATGAGGAGGAATGTAGAATAGCGTTTTCACAAAAAAAAAAATAATGATATTTTATCTTTTTTTCTTATAAATTATCTAAACTAAAACTAAATATAGTTGTTATCTTTCCAAAGTTGAAAAAAAAGAGGTGTTCTTAGTTTAAATCCTTACCTTTTTTTTTTCTATCGTTGTTTTTTAATTCAATCAATTAGGAAAAATAAATTAAAATTTATACATTTCATTTAATTATGATCCACTTATTTCAATATATACAAACAAAGCGTAAAAGTTAAAGAAAATTTATTTATAAATATGATTAAGAAAACACAGGGAAACTTGTGTTATGATGCATAGGCTATAAGCCGAAGAATGAATGCACAGAGATTAGATTATAAACCATTTTAGTTATAAAAGTTTTAATATCACATTAATTATGAATCAATGATTTTAAACATTTAAACTGTCAATAGAAACTAGAAAGTAGGAGGCAAATTTTATAACAATTTTTATCTTAACAATATTAAAAATGAAATAAAAGCCCAATTTTCTTATAAAACCTATAAGCACTACAGAGACTTATCAATAAAATAAAAAAAAATAATCATTTTTCAACAACCATTAACTCCAGCAAAGATATTATAATTTTATGCAACAAGAATGTAAAGGTAAATAACTTCCAATTCAAGAAAAATATATTTTATTTATTTATTAATTTCTTACAAATATTTACTAAAAATTATTTAAACTGAAAAATCAAATTAATGTGTTGTGTTCTTTAAAAGGAATTTGCAGAAAAATATACATTAAAGTTGTAGATTCTGTCTGCTACAGTGTGGAAAAATGGTGATTTTTTTTAAAAATATTGAAAATTTGAAACAAATGAGCATTGATTCTCTCTCTCGATAGTGACAAACAATTAAAGAAAAATAATTGAAAATAAATAAAATAATAGATAATTTGTTTGCGCGGCCTCTTCGTTTGAATTTATTCATACTTTATAAAAAGTTAGGAATGTGATGCATCGGTGCTCCGCCGAAATTACCTGTCATAGCCTGTTTCCTGTGTCTTTTTTTATTTATTTATTTAACTTCCCTGTTATTTGTTAGTTTTGCTGATAAATACCTTATTTCTAATTTTTTGCACTTTCCTAACTTTTTCGTAAAAGTTGTCTATATTTGAAGTTTACAAATAGGTCAGTTTAATCAGTTAAATTCAAATAAGTTCACTAAAATATAATGTTTTAGACTTTAAATTTAAATTAATTTTAAACCTTTTAACTTAACTCATTTAAAATTTTTAAATTGGATTATAACTAACTTAATGTATTAAAATGTAAAATAAAAGTTTAAACCAAAATTAAACTCTCATTTTAAAATTTAAATAATAAATAAGATTTTTTTAACTTCACTCAATAAAATTCAAGTTCATACCATGTTAATTTAATTTGTGTTTCTATCATTATTTTTAATTATATTATTAGTCTATAAATAATGAATTTTTATCTCAGTTAAGTTACTTGAGTTATCAATTACAAAATTTTTGTTTTCAGATACTCTCAAATGCACAAATAATAATGAATAAATAAATTTGTTAAAAAATAACTTCTCAAGTTAATGCATGTTTAAATAAATTTATTTTTAAAAAATTATATTTTCTTAAAAAAGTACTTATTTTGTTAAAAAGAATCTCATTCAAAGATACACTTAATCTCTTCAAAATTATATGAATGGAAAAATTAGTCTTTAAAAAATTTATTTATTTATTAGTTTAAATCACATTTTTATAAAAAATCAATTTTTATATTATAAATTATTAACATCAATAATATTTTATAAAACTAAAAATAATAAAATATTTTAAAACATTAAATATCAAAAAATTAAACTCATATAATTTCAATAACTAATAGAATGTAAAAGTTATTCATTCTTCAAAACAAGTTACACAGAAGACGAGGGTCCTGGCTGCAATTTTTGACATAGTATTAAGTTAACCCGTTGTACTGGTAAAAGGTAAACAGATGATATCCACCGTTTAAATAATACTATATCCAACGGCTGAAAAGAGGTTCATATTTTAGAAAACGAAGTGCTCTCCTTATACATTCCCTTATGCTTTCCAACACTTCAAATGGGAATCAATTGAAACGGTGAATCAATTGTGGATCCTAAACCCAGAATAGAAGAACAGTGAAATCACTGAAAAACGAAGATGAAGACCAAAACGCCATTGAAGCAGCTGAAGCTCGCTGTTCCTGCTCAAGAAACCCCCATTACCTCTTTCTTGTAATTTCATTCATTTTACTCTTCCATTTACAAACCCATTGCATCTTCTTTGCTTTATCCCTTCAATTTACCGATAAAGTTTCTATTTTTACTCCTATTACTACATTTCATTAGTTCTCTTTGCTAGCTCCTATACTGTGTTAGGGTGGACTTGGATCAATGGATTCAACAATTTTTTTAATCTGCAGTGGCTTAGTGTTCTGTATTCTTATCATGATTTGGAAACCAATCCATTTCAGGAAAAAAAAAAAGTGAAGAGAGTTCACATTTTGATATCTTATTTCAATTAAAAAAAAAAACTTCTTTTTCTCATGTTTATGAAGTTGATTGATTTGGTTATTCTAATTGTCAAAAGAACTGCAAGTGGAACATTCCACGATGGAGATCTACTATTGAATCAAAAAGGGTTGCGTCTCATCTCTGAAGAAAAAGAATCTCGGGTAGCTCTATTACTTCACATTCCCAGTGATTTTCAATTTGCATTCATTTTGTTGTGTAGAATCTGTAATTTACATGCCTTGAGTCAGCAATACTGTTCAATGTTTATTATTTTTTCCTTTACTTTCTCACTCACAGTATCATTGTTATTTTATTTTTTTTTGGGCTTCAAGCATCTTTAGCTTACAATTTGTCTCTTTAAACAGCCCTCAGATGGTAAGGAACTGGAATTTGACTTCTCACTGGATGACCTTGAGACCATCAAAGTAATTGGAAAAGGAAGTGGGGGTGTGGTACAACTTGTTCGCCATAAGTGGGTTGGAAAATTGTTTGCTTTAAAGGTTGTCGTGCATACGTATTTTAAATTGCTTTTCTTATCGATAGATTCGCCTGTGTGATTATTCTTGACACATTGTTGTGTATATTCTTCATCCGATCTCTTATTTTAATTTTGACATGCTTTTCTTTCGATGACATTGAGTCATGCAAAAGGAAAGCAAAAATTGGTTTTCCATTTGCTTTTAAATATGATATGTAAACATGGAGGAAGTAATATAAATAAGTGGTTTTTATTTTTATATAGAATGTATTAAATGGAGTGGAGAGTTCAGTAAATCTCAGACAAACGGCCTTTTGAAAATGTGATCTAGAATATTTTTCCAAGCTTGCTTGCCTATGTCTTCAGGTGAAAGATGGTGAAGAACATAATCCAAGTTTAATTTTGTTTCACCACCTTCGGTGAAACAATTTACCACTGTGATCTTGCTTTGTTGTAAAGTATTGTCGTTTAAACGGAGCATATTGTTTCGAAAATAATTTCCTACCTTGTGAATTTTACATCTGTATGACACGGTTCTGACTTATTTATATTGCAGGTTATTCAGATGAATATACAAGAGGATATTCGAAAACAGATTGTTCAGGAACTGAAAATAAACCAAGCGTCACAGTGTCCACATGTTGTAGTTTGCCATCACTCATTCTATCATAATGGAGTTATATCTCTTGTGTTAGAATACATGGATCGTGGTTCTCTAGCAGATGTAATTAGACAAGTAAAAACAATTCTGGAACCATATCTTGCTGTGGTTTGTAAGCAGGTACGCTGGACTATACTTCTATTTCTTGTTAAAATTGGCAGATTATAGTCCTAGCAACACTTGAGGCCTTCTGTTTCCTTTATAATTATTCATGTGCATATTTCAGGTATTGCAAGGTCTTGTTTACTTGCATAATGAAAGACATGTAATACATAGGGACATTAAACCATCCAATCTGTTAGTTAATCACAAAGGCGAGGTGAAGATTACTGATTTTGGTGTTAGTGCTATGCTGGCTAGTTCAATGGGGCAAAGAGATACATTTGTTGGAACTTACAATTACATGTCGGTATGTCACTTTCCCTTATTTACTCTTGTTCCTTATTACCAGAAACTGATTAGCATTTCCATTTAAATTTATGATGATTAATATTGGTTTGTTTGTTTGTTGATTTCCTTCTATAGCCAGAAAGAATCAGTGGGAGCACTTACGATTATAGCAGTGACATCTGGAGTTTGGGCATGGTAGTACTTGAGTGTGCCATAGGACGGTTTCCTTATATACAGTCTGAAGATCAACAAGGCTGGCCTAGTTTTTATGAGCTTTTGGAAGCCATTGTGGAAAGCCCGCCACCTTCTGCTCCACCTGATCAGTTCTCCCCGGAGTTCTGTTCATTTGTGTCATCCTGGTAATTGTTTTTTGTTTACTTCCTTGGTTTCAGTACAAAGAAAAATAGAAAACTAAAATATGGCGCTGAAGTGTTTCAAGGATGGTGTTGCATTATGATCTATTTGTGTTTTGACTACTTGCTCAGCTGCACTTTAAGCTTTCTAATATCTATATGATAAACTTGGTGATTAAATTTTAACAGTTTCAAGTAAACAAGCCACGCTATCTCTTGCACATTTGTGCAGTTTGAAACCTAGTGTTTGTGCCTTCTGCTGTAGTTACTGTTTGATCCATTTGTTACATGTAACTCAGTACATTAAATTTGTTGAAAATTTTGAACATATTCCATTTCTGTTGTTTCTAAGTTCATTACGTGGTTTAATGACAGCATCCAGAAGGATCCTCACGATCGACTGACATCCTTGGAGCTTCTGGTTAGTAATCTAATGCTGTTTTACTGTTTTTCTTATTGTAAAATTCCCTTTTGTGGATTCTTCTAATCTCATTGTACTTCCAGGGTCATCCTTTCATTAAAAAGTTTGAAGATAAAGATCTAGATCTTGGGATTTTGGTAGGTAGCTTGGAAGCTCCTGTAAATTTTCCCAGATAATTCTTATAATGTAGAGTGTAAAATTTGTATTCGACAGTCATAACAACAACTCTTGGTGACAGCAGGGAAATTTCTCTTCAGTTATGCTATATTAAATATAAGTATACCCGAATTAGTCCTAAGCTTGTTGACCTCATTCTAGTTTCTGAAAACTGATATGTATAAATAGTTGTTTCTTGTTTGTATTCAAGGGCTTGATTATTTTGTTTAGTATTTTCTTTACGAATCATAAATCCTTGAGCCAGACTCAATTTGCAATGCTAAAAGTAATTTAACTGGTTCGAAACAGGAAGGAATAATTAATCGTTAACTCTAATCCTTGAAGTGTGAGGAAGCAAGAAAATGTAATTGCAGGCATCAACTCCAAGCATGGACAACTCTAGGATTTGAATCCTCTGTTATCAATATATAACAGTCCTGTGAACAGAGATTTTTTTTTTTATTCTACAACCTATTCGATCTATTTCAAACCAAAGCTCAAATTAAATATATTTTTTTGTTCTTATCGCTTCTAACATGACACACAGGATCCTGACGTGTGAACTTGCCCTTTTTCTATTATTTTGATTTAATCAGCTTGTTATTTGAATTTTGAACTCGTAGCAGACATGTTAGTTGTAGGCTTTTAGCAACCAAACCACCAATGGCTGGGTAAAGACTATTTCTTAGTTCCATGTTGATTTGAAGCAGGATTAGTGCTCATTCTTGTAAAATGAATTTGTCAAGTGAAAAAGATATATTGATTATTAAATTCTGTTCGAAAGACATTTTAAGTATGTTTGTTTTCTTTTTTAAAATTAATTTTATACAAATTTGAAAAATGTTAGAGATACGGAGAGAGAGTGAAGGATTCTTTTGAAGAGCATTAGAAGTTGAAAAATAACAATTTTTCTAACACATTCTTTTAATATATTTTTAATTATTAGTTAAAATTTATTAAAAGCTAAAATCACATGAATTTACTTTTTACTCCTAATTTAATGGTTTTGTTTAATATTTTGTATAATTTTCAATAAATTTTAACAAATAATTAAAAGTGCTAAAAAAATATGTTTTTAGAAGTATTATTAGAATTAAACATGTTAAGTTGCATTAGCTAGTCTATTTAAATAATACATAAAAGTAAGCCTAAATTGTCCACATGTTTGAAGATTCAACTCTTATCTCACTGCATCTGCAATTGAATGTTGGAATATTATTAAGGAGAAAAGGATAGCTTCGAAACCAGGCAAAAAAAAAACATTTTCAACAAACCACAAGTCGATGAAATCGTTGAGTTCAAGATAAATAGTAATAGTGAAACAGAGATAAGACCATAAAAATCACTGTTATAAGAGTCTTGCCTGACTGTTTATATAGAGAAAGGTGAGACACACATGAAGCTTTCCCACATATTTTGCCTCATTGTTTAAAAGACGTTTATGGTGTAAAATGTTTCGGGAAGGAAAAGTGAGCACTGCAACATTTTTCTTAACTGACTTGGTTTAGCTTCATTTCTATATTGTTTTTCTAGTGTTATTTTGGCCAGGTACCAGATATCAATTATGTAAAGCACATAGATTGAAAATATGACTAAATGCACATAAATTGAGGGAGAAACAATGTAACCTGAGAAGGTTGATAATAGAATAAATAGAAGGATGACACTTGTAACATAGACTACTGTGGATGACAAATTTCAGTAGACATGTTGTACATTAGATCCTTGTGTTTGTAGTTACCGATCAAGAAAAGAACATTTTGTCTCATCTATAGTGGCTTTATATAATGCTTATTCAAAGATGATTTCTTCTTTTTAAGAATATTCAAAGATGAACTTTAAAGATTGGATCAAGATGAGTCAATACCAATAGTCAGAAACCTATAAATAAGAAAAAGACAAGTAGAGGCCAGTGTGGATCAGGATAATTTTGGTACACAAAAAAAAAAACAAAAAACACTTGATTTTCAATAGTCCATAAAAAGCACTCAATCCTAAAATCTTAAAATAACTAAAAATCTCCTTCAGACTCAGTCATTACAATAAATCACAGTTACAGATTTAGTAATTAATATTTCGTGGCTTTCATTGAGTATTTTCCGTACATTCAAATCATCAGGAACAGTATCAATAGGTAAAACAAAAGAGAAAAAGTATTTTGAAATTCTGAGATGATGTAATTATGTTTAAAGTACTTACATTTTTCAATTGACAATCTTCAAGCTCCAAACTCTGCATTTTGTTAGGGAAATGTGAAAATAAGTTGATGGATTTTAAAGCAGCATTCCAATTCAAACAAAACCAATTCAAACTGGGCAATGCTGCATCAATATTATTCTTGCCACATCCAATGATTGCAGAACAACTTCAGAATGAAAATTTATTTATATAGAACTGCAGGTGACAAAAAATAGAGTGGCTAAGCAAAAAAAATCAATAAAGGGAAAAAGGATCATGCCATCTGAACCTGAAACTTCTTCCATGTGGTTGGGTAAAGGAAGGGGGAAAGAGAAACAAGCAAAAGATAAGCACTATGAAACAATGCAATACATCAAAACAAGGTATTGTATCTAAGGTTTATCTTGTCTGAAATCTGAACACTTCAGTACAAAAGAAAGAAAAATGTAAATGAGAAACTAGCAAAGAATAAAGAAGCTTGATGGTTAAGGTAAAAAAAATCAAATTAATAGATCAACTTTTTCACTGATTATGTCTGTTTCATACTGATTCAACTTATAATCTATAAACTTTTTATTCTTCCAAATTTATGTATTGAACGGACTAGAAACAAGATTGATTTCCGATTTTCTTGAGTGGGTCAATTGTTTTAATTATGTTAATTAAAAACAGGGTGATCAATTTTCAAGAGTAGGTTATTTTTCCTTTAGAAACAGTTCAAATTGACTGAAACACTTAATACATCAAGTTTTCTAATACGTACAACAATTAAAAATTGTACAATTTAATGTAATTTAATATATGAATATTATTAAATATTATAATTTTTAATAAAAATTTATTATGTAGAATGTTAAAAATTAATTATGTCTTCTCCACCTGTGCACTTTTGGAAGAGAAGAAAAGTTGAATGGACGAGGTCAATGGTGACAAGCAATGAGGGGACCAAACATTCCATTGAATCAGTGGGCGTTGATTGAATCAAAGGATTAAAATAGGGTCATAATCCAATCAGCCGTGGACAGAGATAAGATTTTGCAAATGCATTGTTTATTTTATTTTATGCTTATTTTTCAATTAAAAATTATACTATGAAACCTACTTGCAAGTGGCATGGCATCCAAACCAAAACCATATGATATAATCATGTGGTGGCGATTTTGGCCATATCCAAACACCACACCATCATGACTTGTGAGTTGTGACCAAGTCAATCTCCTTATCCTCATCTCTCTCTAAAATGTTGCATTCTTCTCGTACGAATCCAGCTCATTCTAAAATAACAATGGATATTGTCTTGTCATTAACTAAATTATAGGGTTCTAAATAATAACCATATTTTTTCTGAGGAAAAAATTATAACCCTTGTTACTTTAGAGATGAAAAATAGGTGACGACTTGATTTGATAGAGACACACATGATTAATTTTGGTATGATGAGTGCAAAACGTTCAACCAATTGCAAAATGCCCACACATTCCATTCCATCTATAAGGTTAACACACGTAGGTGGAATATTTTAGCAAGCAACATATGACACTATGTTTTGAAAATGAAAAAGACTTTTAAATAACTCGTCAATTCAGCAACATAGATTTTAAAGATGAACCCCCCCCCCCCCCCCCAAAAAAAAAAAAAAAAAAACAATATATTATGTATTTGAAAAAATTTAAAAGCATATATAGCTCTTATAATTTTATTTTCAATATAGGGGTTCAACTTTTTTGTATGAGAGCAATAATGATATTTAAATTTTACACTCTTACTCTCTCTTTTTTTATTTTTTTTCATTTAACAGCAAAAAGTGAGAGAAATATAGAAAGTGATTCTCACTTAAATTAGTTAATTTCTATGATTGTTTTCAATTCAATCAAATAAAAATCTAGGAAGACTTGTATTATGATGCATGGGCTATAAGCAGAAGCATGAATGCGTAAATATTAAATTACAAAATTTCTAATATCATATTAATTATGAATAAATTATTTTAAAATTTAAACTGTTAATTGAAAATACCCAGATAATTCTCTAACAATTTATATCTTAGTGATATAAAAATAAAAGAAGAATCCAACTTCCCTAGAAACCCTGCGAGGTTAAGCCAAAACATTCTTTAAAGTTACACTTTTGACCAAAAATTGATTACTGAGTCTCAATTTTACATTTTCCAATTTCTTCGTGTACTTACTTTTATTCTTTTGCTTTTGGTTTAGATTTACATGGGTGTGATAGAGATGCATCAAAAGATGGGAATATACCTATCTGTCTTAGCTTTATGAAGCAAAGTTGGCGAGATGTGGACCTTAGTTTCACCCTCCAAAAATAATAAAAGAAGTTAAGACGGTGAGTCAGAACATGGATGTCTTCAAATTTAGACCTTATCCTCTATCCTAGCTGTCAGTTACAAGTTATGCATTTTACACCATATATAACGTGATCTGATAATGACAAAAATTTATAATATATTGTATATATATAAAATCTTAGTGAACAATATAATAACAATAAAATTGGTCAATGTTATCCAATTCTTCTTTGGTAACCTTTATATAAGACCCAATATTTTATCAGCTGAACATAACTGCTCCATACACTTCATACATATGCAATCATGCATGTTTGTGTGATGTACATACTTATGAACTCTCTCAATATGAAGGCATGTTTCATGTGATATATATAGCAGAGAAATCAGGATCTTGGGTGTCTTAAATTTCCTTTTCTTCTTCTTAACATGCAATGAGTGAGAAGGCACAGAAATTTTTTCTAGAAATGAATGTAAAGGGTATCATGAATGATGATGGAGCTGGAAACACCAAGTGGGTTGTCAAAGATGGAGAATATAGCAGTGATTCTACATCCATTGGACTCATCTCGGAAGAAGATTCAATGAACTCTGAGTGTTCTTCTTCATCAGAGTTGACCGAGGATGCATCCTCTTCAACATCATCTTCATCAACATATTCAAATGGACCTTTATACGAACTATCAAACCTCATGAACCATCTCCCTATAAAGTAAGCAATTAAATCCTCATGCATTTCTGAATTTTATTCAATTTTCTTTTGTTACTAAATACACAAGCACACACACAAACACATCATCATCATAATCATCATCATCAGGGTTGTTAATATTAGGAAATGTTTTGAATTGGTATAAATAGTTGTGTTGAGTAATTTATGACCTGTGCAGGAGAGGGTTATCTATGTTCTATCAAGGGAAGGCTCAGTCTTTCACATCTTTAGCAAGGGTGCAGAGCATAGAGGATCTTCCTAAGAAAGACACACCTTATAGAAAGAGAATGAAGTCTTGCAAAAGTTATGGTGGAGGCTTGGATAGTCATAGAATAGCCTACTCTCCAAAGGCTACAATATCAAAGAAAGTTTCAAGAGGGTCTTTTGCATCTGTACTTAACAAAAGAGGGAGTTTCTTGGGAGAATCTAGGCCTTCCATTGCTATTCACAAGAACTTTTGAATCCAACCTGTTAGAGTTATTGCTTATTTCGTGTACAAAATCAGGAAAATTTTGTATCCCAAAGGGTTTATATATATATATATATATATATATATATATATATATATATATATATATATATATATATATATTATCAATTAGCTACATGTTAGATTAGATTCATCATTGCTTTTACTTTCCATGGTGATATGATCCTTGCCTGTTGCAGTTATTACCATTGAGACTCAAAGATTGCTAATTAGGTATATGATCCTATGGTATACCTTAATTCACGTGACACCAAATCCTTTTTGGGTCATGTTTTAGTGTTTTTTTTAATATGGATACAATTTAGTCAATTGTATACAATTTTAAGGGAAAACTCCAATTTGTTATCTCTTAACTTTGCATAATTTGTCCTTTGGATCTCTGACTCCAAAAATTTATAATACGATCTTTAAACCTTCCAGGGATGTATTGTAGTCTGTTTGTCCAATTTTTCATAAAATGTTACCGTAAATTGTTGTGTTTCTAAAATTTCAAAACTAGAGTAATTTTTAAGTTGGAAAGGATAAAATAAACTTCTCTCGTCAAGAAATTTGGTCCATAATAGCTATGCGATTTACGCGTGATGATTTATGCAAATATTTAACAAAAATAAGACAGAAGGACTATGAAATTATAGAGATCGTGTTACACATTTTTTGAACTAGTACGTTTTCTGTACTTTGCACAATTATCATTAAATTAAAACAATCTTTAAAACAACTTTCACAAATATTTATTAAAATTTAACAAATTTAAAACAAACAAATATTTTAATTACTAATAATAAAGATCTTTTTATGTTAAATAAGATAAATTAAAGAGATAAAATTTTAAAAATTAAAATAAAGAATAAAAATATTAAAAAATATATAAATTTAAATTAATATTAAATTAAAAAATAAAAAGATAAATAATATCTAAAAATTTTATCATTTAAAATTACCTTGTTTAAGAATTAAGACAGATAAAATATAAAATTAGATTTGGGAACCAAAGTGAAAATTTAAGGGCCGATAAATTAGATTTATTTTCCCCTTAAGTAAAGTGCTACGTAATAATATGAATAGTATTTTACTTAGATTGTTGTATCTTAAAACCTGCAATTTATCGAACAATTTGTCAAGACTATTTTTTTTAAGGAAAATTGTTATTTGGAAAAGGGGGGAAGGGTGAAATGGGTGCAGAGATGAATGAGATAAGAAGATAAAAAGAGAATGAAAAAGTATAAAATGTGACATGATTTAATACAAAAAATAAGAAAATTAAAATTTTAGAGCCAATTGTTTTATTCTAAGTAGAAATTTGTATTCAATTCATCTCATGATTTATTCTAATGAGTATGGTCTATTTGTGTTGCTGTTATATTTGACGATTGATCCATTCTTTTTTCTTAACATTCCGTTTACACATTAGATTTAGTATCTGTTTAATTTTACGTCCTAAATAGTATTGAAGTACATATATAAACTAATTTCAATCAAATTTTAAGTGTTTATTTTATTGATACATGCGATTTTCATCGAAAATAAAATCTTTCCCAACACTTGCTTAGTATTTAACAACATAATTTTAAGGTTGCTGTTCTCCTCAAGAGATATAATTAACACGTTAAGGGTAGAGCCACATGATATGATGTAAGATGTCTTCCTAAGACGAGGAAATAAGGGAAATGATTCTTGAACAATAGAAGAAGATAACAAATAAATAAAAGAAAAGGATAGATATAATCATATACAGTATCAATTTATTTTATATTCAAATAACAAAACTGAGGAAATAAATTGTAAAGTGTAAAAAACAAGAAACTAAACATGCAAAAAGAAATTGCAGGCTCAATACCACAACATGATTCCGAACTTTAACAAAACTAATCCTGTTTTGAGATTCAGAGTGCAGAGTGATCGGTACAGTTGCCTTTTTCATTTGGTAACACTAGAATCCAATAATGTCCCATTTCTTATTTTACTTGGGACACGTTAAACGAAATATAGACTTGATAACATCGAAATAAATTTCAAGGGACCTTGTCAACAAAATTGCTATAAAATATTCCCTACTTTCCTTTTTTTCACCTCAAATACAATAAACAAAACGAAAGACCTAGAAGAGATAATTTAACTTGCCTGAAAATTTTTAATTTCGAAGCTTCCTATTGTGTACATATAAAAAATGTCTGGTGAAAAAAACTGCACTTGTACTCCTTTAGATGGTCATAACTTGTAAACAGGCTCAATTCCAAGGAGATAAAAGCACTTTCTCATCACAATTAACGTTGCTTCACACAGCAAGAGTCTACTAGTTTCCTCAGGCGATCCAACAACCTGCCAAGGAAAAGAAGTTTGAATTATATGGCTTAATCTAAACATTATTCTTTCACCAAACCTTACCTACGATTCTATTGTTTATGAGAACCCACCAGAAGTAATATTTGCAAAAGTTTTATGGATAAAGAAGAGATTTCAGCTGAAAACCCACCACCAAGCACTTTACAAAGTAATTACTAGACTGACGTATAGTAACCCTATCTTTATCATGTGTCACGACAAATATGACAAATCTTCTACTTGGAAGCTTTATGCATACCTCATCACAAGGAAATAGGAACAGGAAGGGCATAGAAACAAATATATATATATATAACATAAGTTGATGGCTTTAGAAGTATACCTGACAATTAGCATAAAATTTTTTCGAAAAGATTTCTGCCAAATTATACAGGTATTCACACAACAGATTGGGCAACAAATTGGTGCATGCCTCCTCAAAAACCTGAAAAAAAAACAGTAAATGAAGCAATGACAGGCCAGAAAATTTTGGGTGAGGAGCCTTTGAGTGGTGAGGTCAAAGTTAAAGATGATAAAACTTAAATGACAACCTAATACTATAATAGTATTAAAAATTTTGAGACTGACTGAGGCATGTGCCTCCATGTTGGCTAATATAAAAGTCCGTCTCTAACAAAAAACCCATATATGAGGTAAGTATCTTTGGATTGTAAAATAATGTGCAGGAATCCCAGCCGCTTCAGTCTTGAATCTTGATATCTCAGTCTTTTGTTAAAAGAAAAAGGGAGCCTCAGAAACGAAGTTTAAAATATTACTGGTATATAAAGATCTAAAGCTAAAAAACAACATATATTATTCACATATCCTACCTCAGGAAATTGTAGCAAATGAAGCCCCAATGCACGCTCATCTTCATGATCCAACACTATTTTACCATTCTGCACAAGTTGATAAACATGAAATAGACGGTAAGAAATGTGAACAAGTTGATATTTAGTTGACTGACTGCATGCATATAAACACGTGGAATACTGAGCATGTCAAGTTTATAATAGATTGCTGAATTGACACACTTCAAGTCAACCATGGGACATTATAAACCTAGGCACAACTCTTGAACTTGCATCATACTGTAAAATTATGTATATGATACAAAAAAAAAGAGTAAACTTACTCTCTTTACTTCTTCTATGTCTTTACCAGATTTCCTGATGATGGAACAAATCCTAGCATGTGCATACAGCAAATAAACAGCAGTATTCCCCTGTTTCACAATAAGCTCAGGAAGGTGAGACATAAATAACTTCTTATCTGTTTTGGCAGCAATTGTTAAGAAGGAGGAGCGAACAGTTGTAGTTTAAAAAAGGATCTGGTTCTTTAAAGTGAAGTTTCCACTTAAGAGAGCACTAAAGGCGGTACACTCTCGCAAATCCATGGTTTATTATTAATGTTCATGTATTTTACCAAAATTTAGAGCAGTGATGTTTTCCATCCATAGTTATCAACTACAAACTACTGAAAGTTACTCTACACTTCAGAGGATCTTTGTTAAGGCCTTAAGGGAGAAAATAAAAGTGGGATAGGCCCCAGAAATAATAGTCATTATATGTACTAGCTTCTTTACTGTATGTCCTCAATCATACACTAAAAATTAGCATTCAGTGAATGCACCTTATCATTAAGCATCTGATCAAAATTGAATGTGTAATTTGTAAATCTGTTGATCTTCAAGTCAGCATACCTGCAAACATAAGACATGAATATATGGGGCTATAATACAAGCCTACAACTCGTTTAGCATTCACATCACAGGATAAACAAACTGCAAATGAGAGATATGTCAAGTCAAAGTAAACCATATGTTACTAAACCATGAAAAGGTTAACAACCTAGTTGAACTCGTGTTGTCATGATTTATTCTATTCAACAGTTAGCACCACAATCAGAAACCTCAATGTAAAAACCAAAAATTAGTAATTTATTAACAGGATTCTGAGCATTAGTTCAGAATATAAAGCACCCTGTATATAACAATTTTAAAAATTCAGTCAACAGGAATTTGTTAGCCAAATAATCTGTCTACATTAATGCGAAGAATATGGCCACCAAGAAGCAACAGACAACTTAGCATTTGCTGGACAAAATGTTGATTTTACTTATTAGTATGGAAATAAATATTGAGTTAAAGGAGCTTACTTAACAGCCCCATAACCAACTGCCTCAGATGTTTTCTCAATCTCCTCCTCAGACCAATCTTTAGCTGTATCTAAAAGAACATAGGATTTGGAAAATTAACTGTCTGGTGCCCAGAATCCCACTAAATGAAATTAAATAGGCACATGCATTCATAGATCTTAATCAAGCAGAAATTTCATGTCAAAAATGCTTGCATGCAGATAAGGAAGAAGTAAAAAGAGCACAAGGCAACTGGTACTTTACCACGTTCGAGAATGGCAATTTTACAGCGCCTTTTAGCTTCATCAAGCAAATCAACCAATCGAACAACCTCACTGCTGCGACTCCGAAATCGTTTCCCATCATCCCCAAGAACAAGACCAAAACCTATATGAGTACATTTTGGAAATGCATTCTCATCTTTTGGCAACCAACCTGCACGCCTAAAGGCCTGAAAGGAAAATTGAAGGGAAAGTATGACATTTTAACTTGTTGGAATATTGGTAGTAGACTAGCAATATGTCATGGTACATGACTTTTCTATTGTGAAAAATGAAAACATAATATAAAATAACTGATCAGAGAAAAACATTTGGAAAGAAATATCAGAAAAATACGCACAAGTCAATAAGTAAGGTGCAAGGACAGCTCACTACAAGCAAAAGCAAGTAGAAATGGTTCTTCTGACAACAATAAAATGCAGTAACCATAAGATGCCATAAAATTCATCATTTAAGATATACCTTAAATAGCATATCAAAGTGTTGCTGCTGCCCAATATCTGTAACATATACAATCCACTCAAGTTTTTCTTCATTTAGACGATACCTACATGATTCAAGTAGCTTAGACAAACAAAACATTCTGTTTTCCTCATTTTTCTTGTTCCACCATACTCAGATAAAAATGCAAACAGAAATAGATATCCAAATTTTACATGAAAGGCAAAGTATATACAAATCCAATATAAATAAATTTGAAACAATAATTGGTAAGTGATAACAAAGTTTGTCACTCGAGTGAGCAATTCCTAACAGAAATTTCAAAGTTATGTCCAAAAATACTAAAAGGAGTAAAACTAACCAAAGTGATGCTAGATCAGTTGAAAAATAATTGTAGCCACCATCTCTTTTCACAGCAATAAGTGGTATGTTTACACCCTCAACAAAAATCACACGAGCCCCATCACTATCTTCAATCAGTCCTAAATTATCCAGTTTCTCTAAAACCCCAGGAATATATGGATTATAGAAGCTCTCTCCCTGTGACCAAATATATCATCATTTAGTACACAGTAAAAAATGTCACAATTGCTGATATAAGTAAAAGCATCTGATTAAAGACAGAATCTAAGCCACATCATTGAATAAAAAGTACAACAACTGCCAGGTTTCACACAAACCCAAGAAATATTAAGCATGCATACTTTTTCATAGAATTCTTGGTGGTCTAATAATGCATTGCAAAAACAACTTAGAGGTTCCTCTTGGTAGGTACAAAAAATTGAAATCACGGTTTAAATCCATAAAGCCAGTAAAAAAGGAAACTAGAAACCTAACCATTTCTTCCAATTGAATTCCAAGGCGTTGATAAACTTTGTTGAATTCAGCCCTACTAACATCACAAATTTGTTCCCAGGCCTTGCGATACTCAATTTCTCCACTCTGAGACCAAAATTAATATGTACATAAAATTTAAAACTGAGTTCCCCAAGTTCTCACAATAGGGAGACAAAAAAGGAAGGAAATTTCTAAGATATATTTTACCTGGAGGCGGACCACAGCCTGTTGTGCCCTCAGCTTAAATTCAGGATCACTATCAAACCTAACTTTTGAGGCCTTATAGAGTGCCTAAAAATGCACCAACACACGATTTTAAAAAATAACTTTTCCAATTAAAAAAAAAAAACAAGTGCTTTAGCAAGAGAAAGATATGTGTGTGACAAAAACCATAACGAGAAACTAAGTGACAATTAATGAGATCATTATCCTGCAAGTCCTGTAAACATTGCCATTTTTTAAGAGATATTTTCATAATTGTTAGAAAATATGAAAATATTTTAAATTATCCTTATTAGAATTATGAATATGGGCCGATTTAATATTGGGGAAGGAGAGTGAATGGGTTTAAGCTTGAGTAACCTACTTGTCTAAAATGCCTTAAGCTATTTTAGAGCTGAAGTCCTCTTACTTATATACCTTTTAAAGTGTTGCTAACCCACCAATGTGGGATTTTATATCTTAAAACTCTCCCTTAAATTCAACTTGCTTTGGACTAGTTGAGACTTGCATATTTATTTTATTTTATTTTTTTCACCCGGTGCTTGTAATTTCAAGTGTTTTTTTGGACCTCTACCTCATGTCTATTTCTTTTTTTTTTTTGTTGCTTGATTTTGGGCTCCTTTTTTTTCTTTATTTTTTTAATGTCACAAGTCCAATTTTTTTTTTGTCTACTTTTTTAATTTTAACTTGGGCCTTTTTTTGTTAGATTTGGGCTCTAATATCATATTTCGATTTTGGAACGTGGACATGATCCAATATTGGGAGAGGAGAGTGAATGTGAGTTACAAGTTTGAGTGATTTACTTATCTAAAATGCCTTAGGTTATTTTAGAGTTGATTTGCAGCACTACAAGCAGAGAAAACCAATTACTCTTTTAAAGCCATTTGTCATGGGAAAATAGCAGCTTATATTTCCTAGCTAGGTTTATGGTATTATAGCAAGTTAATTTATAGATAATTTGGAATGCATAGAATTTTCTGCCATAGTGAAATTAATTTAATTACAATGAGGATGCATCAAATGAATTAAAATCAATGTTTGTCAAATCTGAATGAAGAAATACCAAAAAAAACAATATATGATTAAACACCTAAATAACATTAACTAGAATAAATGTACATTTAATATATTTTCTTACCTGAAGATCTCCAATGGCTGCTTCACTAACATCTTTTGAATTTGGAAATTTCTCAAAGAGGTATGCAATCAGCATCCCAAACTGCAAAACAAATGCATGAAGTTTGAACTTTATGGTACCAATATCAAAATGAGAACCTTCCTAATGAAGTGTTCTATCATTCTAGCAAGTATGTCATAAGGATATTCCAATAAAAATCTGTTTGAAACAGCTTATGAAAAACAATTTATGACATTCATAAGATGTTTTCAGCTTATTTAAATAACAAGTTTCTTGGTATATTATCAAAATAAATTGTTTTCAGCTTATCTCAATAAGTTTCATCATTAAACTTTAGAGTACATGTCATCATTTAAAAATGACTTATTGAATAAGCAATTAGATAAATTATGTATTCAACAAACCATAGTCACATAATTTGCAGTACTCTCCGGTAAATGGTACAGGTGCGCGTACGTGGTACGCTACCTTGCTACCTATGCGGTACATGGGGGATATAAATAGTTGGTATACTATTTAGGTATGTAGTACGCTGAAAAATATTAATCGGTACGCTATCAATAGAAGAATTATATATCAATCAATGCAACAACTTTTATAATATAAACGCACCTAAGATCAATCAACCCGTCTAAGATCTGAAAGATGAAGAATCTGAGTAGTTAGTGACTCTATTAACTGAATGCAGTGAAGTGAAGTAGCTATGAAAAAGCATTGAAGCTGAAAAACAATACGTCAAGTCAAAGGTACTAATGCGCGAATTGATGTGAACGGATTCTCCAACGTATCGCGAATTGTGTGCACAATTCAATTTGCAGTACTCAGGGCAGTGGAGTGAATTATGTGACTATGATTCAAACCCACCCTAAGTAATCAATGGACAATGCTAATTTAGTGACTAATTGAAATAATGCAATATCAAAAGTATTTCCCTTCTTTGTGGAGGGGGTGTGGGGGAGAGAGTCTTGGGACATCATTTTACATAAAAGAATAATTGAGAATGCATGTTGTACCTTCATCTAATAATTAGAAATGTAATACAAGTATGTGATCATTACGATAGTTAGAAAAGCAATTTACACTATCCATTGATCCAAACATAATTAGTTTTCAAGCCACCTAATAATGCTAATGAGCATAAAGCAGTCAAGTTTAATGACAGTTGCAAATGAATTATGAATTACCCAAAGTCATGAGGTGTGTGAAGACAATGTATAGCTAAGATGTGGTCATGAGAAATGGCATAACCATTTAACCTCAGATTAAACATGCACTGCTTCCAAACTCATTGCACAGAAATACCATAACTTTAGAATACCTGTGTTCCCCAGTCACCAATATGGTTTCTACGGATTACACATTCCACGTGTGAAAATTCAAGCATACGAGCTAATGTGTCACCAATAATGGTAGATCTCAAGTGACCAACATGCATTTCCTTTGCTATATTTGGTGAGGAAAAATCAACCATAGCCCTCTTGACTGGAAGTCGAGGTGCCCACCTATCAATACCATCCACTAGCATCCTCTGTAATATCTGCAGGAGGTTTTTATTTATTTTAAGTACTAAACAAGGTCTTAATAAGCTCAATCATCTAAACAAACTAAAAGCATTAAGTTTCTCATGTAGCACCTTTCCAATTAATGGACACAATAATTCCCACGATTAAAAAAGTAAAAGGACTTAGACACTAGGTGCATACTCTTTCTAAATTTTAGAAGATAGAAAATGAAATCACCTGTGCTATCCATTTCTTCGACAAGACAACATTGACAAATCCAGGACCAGCTACAGAGCATGAATCTATCATTTCAGATGGAGGAAGATTGTTAATGATGGCCTACACAATCAAAAACATACAGATGAACATTTTACAATGACAAAGCAAGATCCAATTAAAAAATCTATACTTAGTACGAAGGATTAAAAAAAACGCAGACGGATTGAGGAAATAAAAAAAAAGTATGCATATTAACCATGATTATACCTGCCCAATTGCTGGGGGACCCTTATATCCGGTCTGCTTTCCTTTTATCTTAGACCATATACCCATTGCATTATTACTGCACCAAGTAATAATTCTATTTTTCACCAATTCACAGTGCAATTAAAACCTCAAATTCACTTGGCACTTGACATACATGACAAGGAGGATAAAAGTGAACCAACCATTGATAATCTCCAAATTTTACACCGCCGCCTTTTACAGCGCAAGCATCAACTAACGGCACAACATCTGATTCATCAGGCACCGTTGCCCTCAGAGACAAGTCAAACAGATTGGCCAACTGCCTTCTTACACTGGCCGGATTATCTATTTCCTATATCATTCCAATCACAATCACAACACTATTTTATTACAGAGAAAATGAAAACAAACAAAATAAATAAATAAATAGTTTGAATTAGGAATGAGAATTCAATGAACTTACAATTACTGCGGTTGAAGCAGGTTGTGTCGTAGTGATTGGGGATTGTGTCTTAGTTACTGATAAGGCAAATCTCCTAGAAGCAACCTTCAGTAAATCTGTCCACATAGCAACATTCAAACAAAACTACGTCGTGTAAGTGAATTAACGTTGGTCGTAACATTGAAGCAACGAGAGAGAGGAAGCGTAGCTGACCTGAACCAGGGGGTGGAAGAGCAGGAGTGGAGGGAAAGTGAGAAAAACGATTGAGGTTTAAGCACCCTAACCCTAACATCTTCCTTGTTTTTCTTCTTCTTCTTCTTCTTTGAGGTTTCACCCTTTCCAAACACTTCAATTTCCGTTGTTAATAGTTTTAGCCGTTTTGTGTGCTGTGTGCTCGCCGTCGCTCAAGATAGGTACTGGGCCACCACCACTGAATCACAATTTTTATTTTCAAAAAAATCGCATTAAATTTTTAAATTTCCAAATGCATTTAATTTTATATGAATGATGATATTACATCATTTAATCCACTATATTCTAATCCTTTTGCCTACGTATAGACAAATAAGCTTGGATAAAAAAATAGAAGAATTTCTTTAAATTTTGAATATCTTTAGACATCATTTGTAATTTTAAAAAATATATATAATTAAAAATAATTTTTACATAAAAAATTCTACTCACCAAAAAATTCTGCACAACTTAAATTTTTCATTTGGGAAGGTAAAAGCTTTGCCCATCCTTAAAATTTTTTCCCTTATATAACAATATTATGGTTAAATCTTTTCTAATTTAAAATATTTTAAATTAATAAAATATCAAATAAGAAAATATAATTCCAAAAAAATATGTCCTAGAGGAGTAAATTGGGCGTTTTTTGTCGAGCGGAAAAAACTAGGCTTTTATGTCAAAAACCTTCATGGGCCAGCCCAATGGGCTTTGGGGTTTCCGTCATGATCTTACGTGCACCGTACCGCATACAAGAATTCCCCACCGTCCTTATCCAATTGCAACGTCCCAATCGCAGTTAAGACGCATCCATAGAATCAGTGTATAGGGGTAGAAAAAACAATTTTAAATTGTTCCAGAAATCCCGAAATTGCCCTCACCTTCTCTCTATATAAACCCCAACTACCGAGTTAATTAGTCACTCACTCAGTATAGAAAGAATGAAGCACACCGGAAAGAGCCACAAGGCCAACGGAAAGTTGTCGGCGGAGACGAGGAAGGATAGGAAGTCGGCGACGGGAATGAGTGGATCGCCGAAGAAGGGAGGGCACGGAGGGAAATTCACGTGGATCGGGCATGGCTACTCGAAGGTTGAGATCGGAATGGAACACGTGGCTTTGGACGCTAAGGACCCGAACTTCGAAGATCCAGCGGAGATCGTCGCCGTCTGATCGCAGCCACCAGATCTGTAAATAGTATTTGGCGAAACGTGCTTTTCAAGTTCAATAATCTGAGACGAATCGGAGAATAAACGTTTTCGAATGCGTTTTCCCTGATATCTGATATCTGTACTTGTGTTGTTGTACATACGTAGTCACTTCGGTCATGGAAGTGCAGTGACACTAGCATTCTCCCTTTCGTGTTTCTCTGTACTTCTGCTATCAACGAGAATTAATTTGAACGAACTATTCAAGTTTAGGGTTTCACTTTCAAGGATCAACAAAACCAGCTCTAATATAAGATCTAATATTATATAGGTTTTATTAGTTACTAAGACTACTAATCGGTCTTCGTATTTTGATCTAATATGTTAATAAAATATTTCAAGACGAGTGCGGTTTAATAGAATTTTGGCGTTAATCAAATTCAGATTTACCACATTTTAATTAGTTTCTAGTCATACGTCACAACGAATATGGAGTATACGAAAGTTGAGGATTCTTCGTGGAATCTAAAGTCACAACGAATACTCAAATGCATATCAAAATTATATCTATAATTTGTTGAATTGATGGCACTAAAAACAAATCATTATCAAAATTATATCTATTAGTATGTATTAAGGATTCATAGATATGGTAATTGAAATCATAATAAGCATCAACTTGGCCTATTATATATGCAAATTCAAAAGTAAATACTTAATAGCTTACAGTTGATATGTATTTCACCAAATGAATAAGAGGGGAATATAATTCTCTTTCGGAAAATGAAAGATTTCAAATAAAAACAATTTAAGAAAATGACCAAAACAATAGAAAAGAAAAAGTTATATTGTAAAACACACATAAACAGGTAAAACATCACATACTAAAAATACGGAATAATTTAATATACACAGGGATTATACTTATTATACTCTAATACATATCGTTATATATACAGATATAAAAAACTACTAACAACCTGAGAAATAAAAACACCATTTCACTTATGTAGCAAAAAGCACACTAAGGACTTGCTAACGTGAAAACTTTGTAAATTTGCTAAATTTTATTATTTACATTGATTATTACACAGTAACAAACACTTGTAAGTATATTTTGAACATATAATAATAATAATAATAATAATAATAATAATAATAATAATAATAATAATAAGCATTAATTTATTTTAACGGTTGCTATTCTAAAATATTACCATCTACAAATCATGTATGCAAGATAAAAATATTACTAAAATATTATAAATCTTGAAAAAAATAAAGAAAAAACATACACAATAAAAAAAATACAAAAGAGGAATAAAACCCTTTAAAATAAAAATGGAAAACTATGAACCTGCTTGTTTTCCTTTTTCAAATATAATTTTAAAAAAATAAAAAACATAAAATCTTATTTGTTAATTTAAGTTTTAAAAACTATTTTTAAATATAATTTTTTATTTTCAGTTTTTTAAACTAAAAAGCATAATTACTTCTAGGGTGTTTTGTTTTTATTTTTCTATTTATTTTCTTAAAACTAATAAAAATTCAATTAAAAATAGCTTTGAAAACTAAATTACCAAAAAAAAATATTTTTATTTAATTCTTAAAAATAGTTTTATAAAGCTATTTTAAAATGTAAATTTTTTAAATTAAAATTCAAAACTAAATCAAACAAGCCCTATATATCTTGGCAAAGATTTTAGCCTTTATTACAACTGAAAAATGAAAAAGTAAACTAAAATGGAAGAAGTCCTAAAACAAAATATTCAGATAAGGATGTCAATAACTATTTACCAATTTGAAATATATTTTTTTCTAATTTTGAAATGAAATGAGTATTAAAAAAAAACAATTACGAAGAGATAACAACAAATAATAAAAAAAATTACATTTAATTTGTACAAATTTTATAAAATAAAGAAACAATGATCAAAGTAACAAAGTGTTAATTTTCATCAAAAATAGATAGAAAGAAGGTAGAGAAAAATATGAAATAAAGACTAAAAAAATTGACATTAAGAGATTAAAAAAATTGTTTATTCAGGGTAACTGTAGTGGGAGGTTTCTCCTTCATACAGTTATCTAGTGATAGTATGTATTTATGTGAGAAATATTCTAACACTTAAGTTATAAGGTTTATTTAAGGTTTAGGTGTGAATTAAGTTCGAAATGATACTTGACTTATAAATATTGTATATTTTATATGAGTTTGAGTAACTTTATCATGTAGTTTACTTGTCACATATGGTTGGTAGTGAGTATATATTAATGCTATTATGTGGGAACACACAATGCATCTAATAAAATTATTGTATGTGGTTATTAAGATGGATCCGAAATGGTTTAACTTGGTTTTAGGCTTGACTCCATATCATAGTTAATATTGCTTGTGAAAGAATAAAATATTTTAATGCCATAAACAATTGAAAGATCACGTCATTGTAAAATTTACATGAGATAATATTAATACTAACAAAATTTTGTGTTGTAAACAAAAAGTTCACTAATAAATAAAATTGCAATCATGAAAATAGAATACTTATATGATAATAAATCTTTCCATAAAATATTGATTCTATGAAAGTATTTATATCACTTCAAAAAAATTGAAGAAATTTAGTCTTTTTTTTAAAACTGAACGATTAAGTTAAGTAAAATTTTATATTTTTATTTAAAAAAATATAAAATATACTGACTTAATGGTATAATTACGGGACTAAATTCAAATAAAAAATTACATAAAATAATTTTTGATAAAAAAACATTTTTTAAAATTTTTTATAACAAGTAAGAGTACAACACTGACGTGTAAAAAAACACCTTAAACTGCCAGAATTAACCGGTGGGCCTCCATGTACGTAATTGGTCCATCTCATCAAAACAGTGTTAGGGTTAGCGTTGTTTGGAAGTTTTTTTTTTTCAAAAACAACCTTTTGTTTGCGCCGTTTTGGCCCTCTCAACACTTTCTCCTTCTTCTCTGTCACTCTCTGCTTCCGGTTCCGACTCTCCTCAATTTTCTCTCTCTTTTCATTTCCTTAATTCCACGTTATTAACGCGATTTTCATTCACTAACGACGTCGTTTTGTTTCAATTTCGTTGCTGTGCAACCAGATTCACTCAACGTTGCATCTCTGAAGTTTTGATTTCGTAACACAATCCATCTCCGTCATGACGTATATTGTAAGTTCGCTGAGCTCTCATTTCCAAATTAATTATAAATTAACTGGTTTTACTTTGCGAGTGTTAATCGTTGTTTTGTTGTTGTGCATGGTAACATCTATGGTTCTTATTTGTATTAAGATGATGATTATAGCTTATATGTTTGGAATTTCATAGGAACTAGAATGTCCCGCTAGTGTTAAGAGACAGTTGGCGAAGCTGTTTGAGGTTTCTCTGAGGGCAACGGTGCCTGATGAACCTGATGTGGTTCCGTTGATTGAGGCTTGTGCTGCGAAAGGTGGTGTGAAATTTGCTGATTATCAATGGTTAGTTAGTTTTTCTCCTCCTTGTTGCGTGTATGTGGTTATGAAGTGAATTTGGGGTTTTAATTGCATTGTGAGTCCGTGAAAAAACTGCTACTATGTGTATGTGGGAACTGAAACAAAGAGTTTTTACTTGGTGCAGTAATAATGCAATGGGTATATGGTCTAAGATAAAAGGAAAGCAGACAGTATTCAGGAGTCCCCCTGCAATTGGACAGGTGTAGTAAGAGATAATTCCCTTACATTTTGCATTTCTCCACATGTATGCATTTTCGTTTTTATCCTTTTGTGAATTATTGAGTTGGATATTAGATTTTGTTCTTTTGTTGACAAATGATCACCTTTGTATGTTTGTTTGTGTAGGCCATTGTTAACAATCTTCCGCAGTCTGAGATGATAGAATCATGTTCTGTAGCCGGTCCTGGATTTGTGAATATTGTCTTATCAAAGAAGTGGATAGCGCAGGTGATTGTGTTTTCTATTTTAAGCAAGAAATAGTGTTATCTAGTGATTGAATCTATTTGTTTTTTTTTTTTTTTTTTGGGGGGGGGGGGGTGTGGTGTTGGTGGTTAGGGAGGGATATCTGAATCACTGTGTCAATTAATTGGGAGGCTGCTATAAAAATTAATGTTTTTTGGATTATTGAGCTTATTGAAAATTTCCATCAGTGCATAACTGGAAAAATTCCTCCTGCAGAGGTTAGAGAGGCTGCTGATTGATGGTATTGATACGTGGGCACCTCAACTTCCGGTGAAGAGGGTTATGGTCGATTTTTCCTCACCTAACATAGCAAAGGAAATGCATGTTGGTCACTTGAGATCTACCATTATTGGGGACACAATAGCTCGGATGCTTGAATTTTCCCGTGCGGAATCTCTTATCCGCCGAAATCATCTTGGTGACTGGGGAACACAGGTAGATTTATTTATCTTCTAAAGTTATACTATTCGTGCCATCACTTTGAAAATTGTGCATATTTTAACTGACTTGTTATGGTTTATGTGACTTATTATGGCTAGATCTTTTACATACACTTCAAAACTAGGTTTCTTAATATACTCTTATACGTATGCTTAGTATATTTGTGACAGTAAATTTTAACTTAACAAGCTTATGTTTGTTAGCATTAGTTGGTGGCATGAGACTAATGATATGTTTGGATATGTGTTAAAATTCAGTGAACATGGATCCAAATTTTGATCACTACTCTAGTTAGTGTTAAAACTAACTAGAATTCAAGGTACATAAATGTAGAACCAAGCACGTTATAGTTATGTTTGGGTCAATGGCTGATGTAAATTGCTTTTCTAACTGTCTTCATGGTGAAAAGCACGTATCACATCCTTCCTTTCTGGATGAAGGTATACTGTGTTTTCAATTACACTTACCTCAAGCAGTTGATGTCCTATAGCACTGCTCCCTCTCTGTCTCCCTGAACAGAATAGTTTACAAATTGAACTATTTCAATTAGTCAATAAATAAGAAATGTGCATTTTTCTTAGGAAAGTTATCATTTTGATTTTGGGTACCATATGACTCAAAATCCACACATTTGTTTTGCAGTTTGGCATGCTAATAGCACACCTCTTTGACACATATCCAAACCCAGAAGATGTCAATGAAGCAGCTATTGGGGATCTCCAGGTGAGAAAATATATGAATTTGAACTTTATTCCTTGTATTCTTATCCTTATCTAGGTGTTTATTTGTATATTGTTTGGTTGGTATTTCTTTGTTCATATCTGACATTGATTTTAGTTAATTTGTTGTATGCTCAAATGCTCATTCTAAATAATTGAATTAATATCTAATTTCTAAATGGAAGTAAAACCTTGCATTCCAAGTTATCTTGAAGTTAATTTGTTATAAATTCCATTAAAAATAGTATTAGTTATATGGTTTTATTTTCTCACATGCAACAGCCTGAAAAAAAGTTAACTGTATGATTATAATTGGTGCTTGAAAAGGAAGTGACTGATTTTTTCTGCATGCATTGCTGCAAAAGATTATTTTATGCTCTGTTTGTGAATAAGCTTTGAACATAGTGACATACCAGATTTTCTGTTTGAAATCAGTTCTATACCTCTATAGACTTGGTCTTTCATTTTTGAATCAAAAGAAATTATGGAGTGAAGTTAGAAATAATTGTTTGGGTTATATTTGATAATTAGTATTGCTTTTTTTGAATTCTTATAAACGAAGAGTTTGATTTCTAGGCATTCTATAAGGACTCAAAAGTGCGGTTTGATAATGATCCTGAATTTAAGCTGAGGGCACAACAGTCAGTGGTCCGGCTCCAGGTAAATTATATTTCAAGAGTTTTCCTGTTTTATCTCCTTTGTTCATAAGATCTTAATATCCTTGGTTTTAGGTTTTAAATTTATGTATGCATGTATTAATTTTGGCTACAGAGTGGAGAAGAGAAGTATCTCAAGGCATGGCAACAAATTTGTGATGTTAGTAAGGCTGAGTTTGAAAAGGTCTATCAACGCCTTGGAGTTCGGTTGGAGGCAATGGTAAGGCTTCTAGTTTCCCTTTTTCACTGACTCTGGAGTTCAAATGTTGTGCGTATTTCTTGTACCTTCCGGGGCGGTTTTCTAAGTCTTTTTATAATGAAGAGATCTACCATATTCTGTGTATCAAATCTTGTCTTTTTTTAATGATCAAAATTTCGATTGGGTTCTCAAGTTAGCCCCAGAAACCTGAATAATTTCTCTCCCTCAGAAGCTGCTTGATAGCTTTGATTTTCTGTTGCAATTTAATTCTCAACTAAGAGTAGCTGAGGATTTTGTATGAAAGACAACTCCTCTACATGCTTGATTCATTTCTAGGCATTAGCATTTTGCAAGCAATACTATCAAAATTGCATCTTAAATGGCGTTGGTTTTTAGCTGATTGCATTTATGTGATGATGTACGTAAAGTGTAACAACAAATAGATTGATTCTATTGACTTTTTTGTTGAAGGAATTAAATGTATTTACTATTTACTCAAGTCAGTAATTGAAACATTTTTACAGTGTACTGAATGATCATATATTTGGTCACAGGGAGAGAGCGCCTTTAATTCATTTATCCCTCCAACTTTGGAAAAATTGGATAAATTAGGACTGATTGAAGAAAGTGATGGTGCTCGTGTGATATTTGTTGAGGGTGTGAACATACCGATTATTGCTGTGAAAAGAGATGGTGGCTACAACTATTTTTCAACTGATCTAGCAGCACTTTGGTTAGTTTATACTTTTAGTCATACTTTTTAAAATACTGTTACAATTGCGGGCTCACATGAGTGGTCAAAATTTATTATCAATTGTGGTCCAATTTTTATAAATTTCTCCATAAGTACTTATAAATGAAGAAATGATGAGGTAGAATGAATCAAACTTCTTTCTAAAATTAAAATCAACTTGTGCAACTTAGCTTTTAAAAAGGTGAAGCATAGATGTTGATTTTAATTGACAAGAGTAGTATGTTTCATTTTACTTCTCTTATAAGTACATATTGATGAGTTTATCTAAACTATGTCTATATCAGATTTATTTATCTTTTGAATGCTGTATACTCTGCCTTTCATGTAAAGTTTAGGTATATATTGTCTGCAGAAAATATGAATATATTTATTTGAGTATGGAACATGGTGACAGAAAATATACTGTTATGATTATCTGAGCTACTTGAACCATGTAGGTATCGCCTAAATGTGGACAAACTTGATTGGAATATATATGTTACAGATGTTGGGCAGTGGCAACACTTTGATATGCTTTTTAAGGTATAACTCAATTCATGATTTTTATGGTTTCTCACTGATATTGAATTTATTTTGTTGTCATAAGAACTCTTTCTACTTGCTTTTGCCAGGGTGAGTTTTCCCATGTTATTGACTTGTCTATGTTTTGCTGATCCCATCGTTAGCTTTTTTTTTTTTTTTTTTTTTTTCTGTTCTAATGTTATTGACTTGTCTATTTTTTTTCCAATTTTTATAAAGACAAAAAGCCAAGGACCATAACATATTCCTGATGTACTGTGCATTATTCCAAAGAGTTGAATAAATGACCGACATCCCCATCAATTTTCTTTTCAGGCCTATAGGCGTGCAGGATGGTTACCAAAGGATGAAAATGAGTTCCCAAAATGTACTCATATTGGTTTTGGTCTTGTTCTTGGGGAAGATGGAAAACGATTTCGGAGTCGCAGCAGTGATACTGTTCGATTAGTTGAATTGCTTGATGAAGCTAAAAGGCGCTGTAAAACTGCCCTTCTCGAACGTGGTAAAGTACTCTCTGTGTGATATTTTGTTCTTCCTTATCCGTATACAAGCATTAATGAAATGAAGTTTCTGCTTCAATTAGTATGAATGCATGTTCCCTTTCTAATCTCACTTTGTGAGATTCTAGACATTTCTATGGTTAATCCTCCAAAACTTGTGTTTGTTTAGATGCTGCTAAAGATTGGTCTGAGGAAGAGATTGAGAAAACATCAGAGGCAATTGGTTATGGGGCTGTTAAGTAAGCTTCTTTAACTCAATCCTCCCCCCATCCCCCTCTCCTACTTCTATATGCTAAATTAACATTCTCTCCTACCTTGCAATTTACTTTTGCCTGTGATAGGAATACTAAATGAGTTATAGGCTTTTAATCTCTTATGTTAGAGTCTTTAATTTGTGTTTGCAGGTATGCTGACTTGAAGATCAACAGATTAACAAATTACACATTCAACTACGATCAGATGCTTAATGATAAGGTGCAGTCACTGTATGCTTGTCTAGTTACACTGTTACAGTAAAGAATCTTGTAGATTAAACAATTATTTATGGATCCTGTGCCGCTTTTATTCCTTCATATCAAGGATCAGATGAAGTACAGGGTAACTTATAAGATAATGTGTGGTTGATAACCTTGGATGGGAAATGACACAGTTTTAAATTTTGATAAAAATAAAATATTGTTACATGGATAACTGACGATTGATATGTGAGAACTCGTATCTTTAGAAGTTCTATTCTGTGATTGTCACCTGCAAATATCCATGTATACTGCATCCTTCACCTTAAGGAGTAGGAACCATTTTTTAACATGTATTTTGCTCCTTGTTGAAAATTGCTGTTGGAACAGCTAAGAAGAAAAATCTTTGAAACTCCTTTTGCTCTTCATCTCCAGCTGAACTTTCTGATTGAAGGTTATTTACATCTCACCTTTTTGAGCTTGTCATGAATCAGGGGAATACTGCTGTTTATTTGCTATATGCACATGCTAGGATCTGTTCCATTATCAGGAAATCTGGTAAAGATGTAGAAGAATTAAAGAAAGTAAGTTATTTTTTCTTCTCAGGATGACGTTTTTATACGTTATTATATATTATAAAAAATAATGTTTGTGATATGACTCTGTCTCGTGTACATATTAGCCAACTAAATATCAAGTATCCACCTGTGCACATTCCTTACCGCATATTTTGTGTTTAACAACTTTTTGCTGACAGAATGGGAATATATTGTTGGATCATGAAGATGAGCGTGCATTGGGGCTCCATTTGATACAATTTCCCGAGGTAGGGTCATGTGAACAGCATATGTTGTTCTTGAGCTTTAGAGTTTAGACCCGCGCATGTGTTGTTAAACTGTTACTGGCATTCCATTTTCTTTAAACGAAAGAGTGAGATAGCATGGCTGAAGCAATCTGACATTCCTGCATATTATTTTATAACTGAAAAGGTACTTACTGTCATTTGTTGGCTTTTTTTCAGGTTTTTGAGGAGTCATTATCCAATTTGTTGCCCCATGTGTTGTGTGAATACCTCTATAATATGACAGAAATCTTTACAAAAAAATTTTATACTAATTGTCAGGTATACTTTTGAAGTCATAAATTTATGCTGCATATATTCAAGTTTCTACGCACTTCTATTCGTATTACGTTGTTGTGTGGATAAAGCTTACAAGTAGTAGATCTGTTGTATTTACCATTAAAGATGTTAAACATAGGTTACTAGATATCATTTTAGTTTTTTTTTTAAAAACCTGATGGTTGGCCTATCAGCTGAAATCTCTCTCTCTGTTATCTTTTCTCAAATATTGCTTCCGGTGTGGTATAATACGCAATAGTCTCTTAGATAAGGTGCAATGAAATAATAATGTTAAGGGTGAAGCCATGTAATTCAACTTCTTACCCATGGCAGGTTGTCGGGTCGCCTCAGGAAACTAGTAGACTCTTGCTATGTGAAGCAACAGCAACTGTGATGAGACAGTGCTTTTATCTCCTTGGGATTGAACCTGTATACAAGCTATGATCTATCTGAAGAGGTTCAAGTGCAAATTTTTGGAACATATATTATTTTTGTGATCGCAGCTGTAGGAAACTTAATTGTTCTTGCTAATTATTTCTTCCCTCTTTTGTCCATTGTATCAAAGTTAAAAAGTAGGAAACTAATGAATGATTGATGGGAATGTTATTGAAAAGGTGCTTTAAAATTTAATTTGATGCTATATGTGCTATAATTTCTTTAATATTTTGGCTTCGAAATTACTTTTCTTCATTCTATGTAATATTTATTAATTTCGTTGCCTGAGTTTTCGATTTTTATGAATGTGTAACATGGTTTTTCTTTAATTTTTTTTTTTATGTATCCCGTTTATTTTTATTAGTTATTAGTTCTTTATTAGTTTATCGATAAATGAAGTTTAATTTTTTTTCCATATTGAAATACTTTTTTATTTTAGAATTTTTATGTTGCATGTAATTTTTGATCTTGATTAATGTAAGTTGAATTTAATCAAATTATATAGGCAGAGAAAACACGTTTGACATGGAATCGGAAGCTTTATTTTTAATCAAGAATAAGTACTTGTTTTCATGAAAGACAGTTCCATTGCAGAAAAATTTTAAAGCCAAAAGTCAAAGGTAATAAATAAAATAATTTTATAATTTGTTTTATTTATGAAATTTACAATATGAAGAGGAGGAATAATTTCTTTTTGTTTTATATTTAGGATAGAGAAGAGAATGTCAACAATATAAATATTAGAATAAAAAATGACTTGAAAATACTTAATTATTAAAGTGAATTTCTAACAATGGAAACATTAAATTTGCCAAAAAAAGGTTGCAATTATGTTGAACAAAAGATATCAAAAAATGTCAAAAATTGAATAATTTTTATTATATTATTATAAAGATACTTTCATATTTTATAGAATTTAAAAAATAAAATATGACCAATATTTTTATGTTTTATCAAGATATTTAGTTAAATTGTTTATATTATAATAATAATAATAATAATAATAATAATAATAATTATTATTATTATTATTATTATTATTATTATTATTATTATTATTATTATTATTATTATCACCTCAATATTAATTTTTTATTACAATTTATATGTATTAATATGTTATAATTTTAATTGATATAAAAAATAATTTTTTGTGTTAAAAAAAGTATTGTGCTCTTTTAATTTCTACCTAATCTTGATTCTATTTTTTCCTGCTTCTTTGTCATTTTAGTATTTATAAAAATATGAAAATTGATATATATATATATATATATATATATATTAGCATTTGTAATCTATTAATGTAGACAATATTTTAATTAATATTTAATATTATAATTATAATGATAGTTTTAAAGTAAAAAATAATTAATAATAGTTTATATTTGATGATTCTATCACAATTCATTATCATGTGTAATAGTAGTGATTATAAATTCAAATTTTTAAGTTAAAAAAATTATTTATATAAATTAAAATTATTTAAATATTTGTAAATATTATAATAATAAAATGGAATTATATTTAATGAATATTTTTTTTCATTAAAATTTTACAATAATTGTTTAATTTGCATATTCAATATTTTTACATAATAATAAATGAGTACATAAATAATTATAATATTTTAAATCTAAATTAATTTTAATTATTATATTTATTTTCTATATATATATAATTTTTTCATAAGTTAGTCAGAATTATTCACCTTGTTAATTTTTCTTTCATATTCTAACATTTGTTTTTATATATATATCTTCAAGAGTTTAAAAGTTAGAGTTTAAAATGTTATAATTTTTTAGATATTTTTAATATTAAAATATTATATTATATTTATATATTATTAATTTATATTCTAACTATGTAATTTGTTAAAATTTTCGTTTGTAATAAAATTTTTATTTTTTTAATATTATTTTTAAAATAATCAATATCAAACATAGAGAATAGTGCTTTATAATAAAAAAAATTAAATTTTATAGGTAAAATGTAATTTTTATTTTTTAAAAATAATTTAATAAAAAATATAAACAAAGTCGTAGATATTTAATATATTTGATTTTTTTAAAAATTTATCATGACTAATAATTTAATTAAATCATCAAATATATAAACTATATATATATTTTTTAAAAATTTTAAATTGATAAATTATATATTATTTAATTTAAATTAATTTATTTGTAGATAATTTTATCATAATTTTTATTTAAAATAAAATTTTATTATTTTAAATATATTTTTTATAAATTATTTTAAAACATAGTAGTTTAATAAAAAAAAATATAAACAAACTTGCTCGGTTATGTTTACTAGTATATATTTAAAATTGGCTGCCGATTAGTATTTTATGATATATTTATTAAATGTAAGATATAATTAATTTATTACAAATACTTCATTAAAAGATAAAATATAAAAGATAAAATATAATTAATTGTTTTATTCATTATTTATAATATATTAAAGACTTTGGATAATTAAAAAAATTCATTTCCCAACAACAAAAATATATATATCCAACTAACACTGCCGTTCTTGACTTTTTTGACACCCTAGGCAAAATAGGAAATTAGGGCCCTTAAAAAAATTATAAAATATAATAAACAAAATAAAAGTATATATTAATAATTTTATTAAAATAATACTTTTTTTTAAGTGGCTATAATTTTTTTAAAAAAAATTATAAAAAATTATTTTTCATTCAAAAAACTCCTATGTTATAATTAACTACAAAAATACAAAAAATAATAAAAAAATAGATTTTACAAGCATTCTGAGATGCAAAATTATTAATGATAACATTTACATTAATATTTTTTAAAAATTCTTTATCGATTGATAAAATTGTGAGACTATTTAACGTATTTTGTGACATTGATGACTTTAGGTAAATTTTGATTAACTTTAACTTTAAAAAACTTCTTTCCGTTCATGATATAATCACTGGGACAGTAAAATAAATTATATAAATGATTAAAACATTTAGATAACAATCTGAAGATTTAACAAACTCAATAACTGTTTAATTTTTTTGGAGAAAACTAAAATTTTTCATGAGCTTTTAATGTTAAGAATAGTAAAATTTTGTAATTTAACAAAGTTTTGAGTTTTCAGAAGTCAATGAGTCAAACGTTTATAGCAAGTGAGATACGAGAAATTAAAAGGTCTTTTTTATTTTTTCTATTTTTTCTAACTGCAAACTATAAGAGCTGAAATTTTCTTTTTAAGTAAAAGTAGGATACAATTTTTACTTTGAGCCCTCTTTTAAGTTTGGACCTTAGGCGATCGCACCTCTAAACTACCCTCAAAACTGGGCCTGCCAACTATAAACAGGTTTAAGTAGAACAATTAATCAATCACTTAGTCTCCTAACACATGTAACAAGTATGCCTAATTCATGAAAATATCCTGAAATATATAATTTTCAAGAAAAATAAAAAACAAAAAGAGAGGGTAATTTGCTTAAAATAATGTATTTACATTTTATCATTTTTCTATGATATTCAAAATAATATATATTAAATATTAAAATTTTAGAAAAATTATAAAAACTTAAAATTCACAATTACTATTTGCAATTTTTGATACAAGAATAGAAAATCAGAGAATAAGCAGTTAAAAATTATTTTTTTAAAAATTAAAATTGTTAATAACATTTTTAAAATAATAAAATAAAAATTTATAATTTAGTATTTTTTTCATATGAAATTGTTTAAATTATTTATTTATTTATTTTGATTTAAAATTTGTCCCAGTTTACTTGCACTCAACCCACGTGCACGACAAATGTTCGAAACACTTGGAAGGAACCTCACCGCGAAAGCTGAGAATGGGAAGTTAGGGGCGGAAGTGCTTCCGCAGCGATGGGGAACAAACTCGCGCGCACGACGCAAGTTTCAGCTTCCGAATACTATCTACACGACTTGCCGTCTACCTATAATCTCGTTCTCAAGGAGGTTCTCGGTCGCGGTCGTTTCTTCAAATCGATTCAGTGCAAGCACGACGAGGGTTTGGTCCTCGTTAAGGTCTATTTCAAGCGTGGCGATTTCCTCGATCTCTCTGATTACGAACGCCGTCTCTCTCAGATCAAAGACATATTCAGCGCCATCGATGATCCTCACGTTTGGCCTTTTCAGGTTTCCAATATTTTTCATAGATTTTGAAATTAATTGATTATTCAATTTGAAAATGAATGTCAGTGAGTGTGACTCATTGCAGTTTTGGCAAGAAACTGATAAGGCGGCTTATCTTTTGAGGCAATATTTCTTCCATAATCTGCATGATCGATTAAGCACGCGTCCTTTTCTTAGTATCGTTGAGAAGAAATGGTTGGCTTTTCAGGTTCTATTTTCCTTTCGTTTGTTCAATTTAATTATGATTATAGTGTTTCATGGTTTTGAAATTTTGTTAATTTTCGGTTTGTGGGTAATGTGCAGTTGCTTTTAGCTGTAAAACAGTGTCATGAGAAGGGAGTGTGCCATGGTAAGTCTTTATTTAATTGAAGCATAGTAAGTGAAGTGGAAAATGCTCAATTAGTTGATGATGGCGTCTTCTGTTGTGATGGCTTCATTGGCAATCATTGATGTTGTTTGTGTAATTTTGTATTTTTTTAAAAGGTGATATTAAGTGTGAGAATGTGCTGGTTACGTCATCAAATTGGCTTTATCTTGCTGACTTTGCGTCTTTCAAACCAACTTACATTCCGTATGATGACCCATCGGATTTTTCGTTTTTCTTTGACACTGGTGGGAGAAGGCTATGTTATCTTGCACCTGAGGTTATCTCCTTTCCTTCTGTGTCTATTTGATTTGTTTTTGTTGTCTATAGCTTATTTCAATTTGTTGTACAACAATTGAGAAGCAATCCTGCATGTTATCTTTGTGAAACTATTGCAGATGATATTGCTGTGTTTTCTCTTTATTTTTTAATTAATGTCAGTTGTAGTAGGAAGATGCAAGTGGATTTGCTTACCAGTTAACCCTCAGTTTAAAGGCTTAATTTCGATTGCAAATTCAGCAACCGGCCTGATGGCTTGACTAAATTAATCTCTTATGCTGTGTACTTTTTTGTCATAGGCTTAAATATAGTATACATATGTGCTTTAGAATTGAAACTGAAGAGAACAAAAAATTTGTCATGATCTTAGAGGACCAATATCTAGACTCTGTTTTTTGTAGGTTTAACAATGTTGACCTTTATT